TCTTGAGGAATTGAATGGGGAATTCAGTGGTAGATTCTGAAAAATTCTGAAATCAAGGCTGGACTTGTTGAACTTGACGTCACGTTTTAATGCATATTTTCCCGTTCCCGTTCCCGTCTAAAGTATGACTTTATTTTTCAAGAAAGATATTTATCTGTTTTCGAACCATTTTCGCATAGCTCGGCCCTAAAAAAGGAAGTTTCTCTTTTCTAGCTCAGAAAGACATTTTAAGATCTTGCTTTTTCGCTTGATTCTATTCCAAACATCCTTGATCTCCCGATTCTCAATTTAGCATAATTCCCGCTATTCATCCATGAGCACCGTCCAACAAGTATCCCTCGCCCTCGATTTTTTCATTTTCTACGATCCGATAGAAGGTGATGACGATAACTGTCGGGGTGTGCTAAGCTGCCCGCCACCGGTGTCAGACCTTTCTATCCGAGATGCGGTGTGAAGGGGATTCTTCTGGCATCTGTGGCTGTCCGTCTATCGGTGTGTGCGCGGATTATCTGCCCATAGGTCCCTTCTTCTTCTTCTCCTCCTCCTTCTTCTCGCTCCTCCTCCGACCACAGGGGCCCTTCATTTTTACCTCAGCCCGCTAATCCCGGAACTGTGTACGACTCCCCGCGGGCCCGACGCCCAACCACAAAGAGAGAGTCTGTCTATATTGATCGCTAAATCTATATATTGAATGATGGGTACACGGCCTATATTGGCTGATATGTTGATTGCTGGTCCGGGTAAGTCAGTGGGTTATGGTAATGGGGGCGTATGGATTGGTGTGTAGCATAGCTTCGCGAGAACAGAGGTCGCATATGCGTAGAAATTTCGAGGGCTTTGTAGATTTTGAAGTAAAATGTTCTTTTAACAGATCGTTAATACCTGTATTTGGAATTATTCATCCTCTATAGTCAAGTACAATTTTCCTTGACCGTAAAAATACCATATTTACCATTTGTTAAGCCTCGATTTACCGTTTATAAGTACCGATGGGTAGAATGATAGGGCTTCAAAATTCGCCTCAACCAAAACACATTTTTTGCGAGAGCCTCGTCCATTCTCACTTTACGAACTCTTTAATTCCCGGAAATTCGATCCAATGCCGCCTTAGATCTCCACGAACGATGTTCCATCCACCCCACAAAACCATCCGGTGTTCCTATATGCTTCAATTATCCAAATACCCTCCCCCTCCTTTCCCCACATCATAGTTTCCGACCCTCAGAAGGGCATGAGCCCCATGGGTCTTTTGAATTTTATGCTCAATCGACATGACATCTCCATCCCACAACTCGCCTTCCTTTCCTTCCCCCTTCCACCCACCAAACTAGCTGAATACGGGAAGACGACGACGCAATATGCCTGGATAGGCAAGGGAGGCCCACGTTCTTTTCAAAAAGGGCTTTTTCGTGAATCTGGGGTACGAGAGGGCGAAGCCGTCAAGGAAGTCGATTTCTGTACTTCAGGAATATCGCAGTATGCGGCGGGGAATGAAGCCTTACAAGTTGTAGGGGCTTTTTGGTTGTAGAATGCCCATAGGTTTTGCACGTTCTAACCTTTGACAAAACTAATACAATTATAAAAAAAATTCAAAACCGGAAAGTGTGGGTGTCTTGGAATATAGCGTTCTCTCGTTAAATTTAGAAATCCGGCTCTAATCTTTCAAAATCGTAGAAAATTAACAGTTTCGCAATTCACGATAATATATCCGGTCGGATAAGGCCGCGGGAATTTGTACCTGTCTGCCCACCTGGTAGGTGTCAACATCTAGCCCCCATGGATATAAAGCTTCGGGTCGAAGCCCCAAATGGGACCGGAACCCCGAAATGGGAATGGTCGTAAAGTCGTACACCTTGGTCATTTTAGGTTAGAAAAGGTGTGGTCAACCTGGCCAATTCCTGGTAGCGGGTAGTTACTTGATACGAATTTTTCGTAGAGCGGAAAACTACAGCCTTCGTAACTATCGTTAAAATTGTCTAAGGTCTTCTAATCCCTGCTTAATTTTTTAAAAGGCTGCCTGCTTTCAAGGCGTCAAAACTTCCCTCCTCGAAAAATTTGAAAATATAAACGGATTCCAAAAACACCCCTTTCCAGTCACAACCAACCCATTTTTTACTGAACTTTTTCACTGAACAAAACCTAAAGACCCCCAAACCATCCATCCATACCAAGATGTACCCCCCTAGCTAGTCGACATCCACCCTCCACCCCCCATTGGAACAAACCAACCACAAATTGACCCGATTCATCCCCCCGGGGACACCCACAGTTTGGGTCTGTCTTTCCGGAACAAGCCTCCCCTTCGAGTTTTTTTTGTTAGCCTGGAAACGGGCCCACTTTCTGGGTCAACAAGCCGAGGTTTCGTCCAGACATTCATCCCAATCCTCTTCACACCACCATTCCCATTCGGCCCATCGAAGCCCGTTAGAAGGGGGCCTCGGGCCCCTATTTGAGAAGCAGAGGTTCACGGCTTCAATCTGGCCGTGGCGCTTGGTTCGCGTTGCCATTCAATCCTCACATTTTTTGTTGTACAATGGCTTTCTGGGGCTTCTCCGTCATTATTTTATTGTTTGCGGATTGGGATTCATCAAAAGTGGCTGGGCGGGAGGGGACTGAGAAGTGACGTTGAAAGCACAGTTTTGTTATTTCCTGCTTCTCAAATGTGAAAGGTTCCACGATCGATCAAAATGCATTTGAATTTAAATTGTCTTAATCTGCAGAAAGCAAATCTTATGTTTTTTTAGCTTAAAATCGATTCCCTGCTGCGTCAAAAAAATTTAAATTTAACTTAAACTAAACTTTAGAGTTTATTGAATTGAGTTAAATTTTAAATCGCGTTAAACTATTTAAAGTAAAATTTTATTCCCAAAAACGCCAAACCTTATTTTGTATGAGCTATCCAAGCCCAGCATATTGTACCTAAAAGCCTAACCCGTCGCTATTTTTCGCTCCTACCCGTAAAATTACAAGAATCAAATTTTTCTGCGACCACCACACCTGCCCCTTCTTTCCATCTACATCCTGATTTCTGGATAAACGGCCGTTAATAGCTTCCGTAATCACTCCGATTCTTTCACACCCAGCCCCCCCATAACCAATTTTTACACACCGACGTCAGCCGGGGTACCCCCTTCGTTAACCAACGGAAGTCTGTAATCCATCTTAACAAAGCTATCCTATTAGCGAGTGGGTGGGTCTGGCTGGAAGACCAGAAAGCTTTGCTTGTGTCTTGGTACAGCGCCCGTTTTTGGTTTTTAGGCGTTGTTCTCCAGGAAGCTATCGTAAAAAGTTGAAAGGTTTGTATGTCACTTGGCTAAACGGGAGACCCACGCGGAGTATCTTCTCCGATTCCCGCTAGTCAGGGCCATTAGGCGCGTGGGTTCACGGAATCACATACTTCAGGCTTGCGCCTCCCCAAATTAGCTTGTTTTCCTAAAAGTAGAAGCTCCACTCTGTTCTATGTATTTCCTTTTTTTCATAAGTTAAATAGAACACTTTTACAAACTACAATGTTTTGTGTCTGGCTCATCTTCTCTATCGTATCCACTACCTGCTACCAAAACAGGGCCGTGCTCGGCCTATCGAGACATATTTCACAAATTATAATCTACCCCCCCTAACCTCATAACCAATAAATACCATCACTTTTCTAGTGCCTGTTTACTAGACTCGAGTACACATATCCCAACCCCAAATTGCCAAACCCCCGGAAATTAGGAAGACCCGCGCTGCCCTGAATCTAAAAGAACTGCTCGGAAAATGGCGGGTTCCTAAAGATTTGGATTAGCGCTGCCATTTTTGCATTTTCGGGCCCTCAAAAAGACCCGGATCCTCAAAAAAAGATTTTTGAACCGCCTGAGCTCATCCGAGGAAAAACCGGCTATTGTAGTGAGATACTGGGGTAAAAAATCGACTACGAATTCCGGATTTTGGAAATGGGATTACAGGGGGTGTGAAGGGTTCTATGTTCGGCTAGGAGTTCGGGAGTGAAAAGAAATGGGCTATCGTCTTTTAAAGATAGAGTTGACTTCAAGGAAAATGTTATCGTTTTCCTGGTTTAAAACTGTTTATCAAAAATGTCGAAGGTTTAAAAAAGCAATAGGCTGGTTAAAGGCACTGTTTTCAACCACTCAAGACGTACGTTCGGAATTGTAGATCTATATCAAATAAAATGGAAACAATGCTGCTTTTTTGTGATATAAGCTTAATTTTTTATTAAAATTCCTTGATAAATTTCTCTTCAATTTGAACATACCGTAGACCCCTTAAAACGTTTTTTTTCCGGCCAAGTACCCCCGGGCATTTCGGAAAGAATTCAGTGTGTGTTGAGATGGGAAGATTTGAGGGATGGCGGGACTCGCTAACGAGACTTCCCCTCAAGCTATTGTCCACCGGAAGTGCTGACTGCTTGCAGGCTCTTCTGTCAGTCCCACAAAGTTTGACATCCCTAATTCTTCTTCAACCCCCCATCCCCCCACCCTTCGTTTTATAGCTTTATCCGATTCGGCGGCTCGGCGAACATTTGAAGCTCGCTATTTTCGGCTGGGTGGTCTTGAGAGTTTGTTAGAACTAAGATGATCGAAGATTGTATTAAAGTCTTGAATTTCATATTTGTTTTCAATAGCCAATCGCTAGGGTTGATCTGACGGGAAGAAACGCAGAATTTTCTTAATCAACATAGACTCAGCTTACCCAAATCTACGAAAACTATCTCAGACACTCATTAAGCCGCGTCCCATCCCGAAAATCCTAGGAAAAGCCGTTATTCGGAAATCACAGTCACTTCCCTTCCGGATCACACCCCGCTCCTCATTTCCGGTGCGAGGGTCCATTACTCCCACTCGTATTCTAAAAACAGCCTCTCCCCACCTCTTGCAATACCATTCATACCACCGAAAACCCTTGCAAATTAGCCGCCTCTACATTACCAAAACACAATGTGTTTTGCGCAGCCTTACATTCTATAACACTCTATTTTCTCGATTTCAGGCGACGACGATATGAACAGCAGCGCTCCGGCGAGCGCCGCCGCTCAGGTCGCCAATATAGCATATTGTTATATATTACCTACAATATGCATACTGGGTTTGTTTATGCTCATACTTACTCAAACCTGAAATTTAGGGATTATTGGAAACATCACAAATCTTGTTGTGCTTGCTTCAAGAAAGCTGAGAGCCGTTTCCTATATGTATTTGAGAGCACTGGCAGTTGCTGACCTGCTATGCATGCTGTTCGTATTAATATTCGTTTCGGTGGAAATTCTTGAGAAACAAGGTGGTAAGCATTAAATCATATATAATCTAAAAGAATCAAGGTATCCATTTCAACCGCTGGAAATGGTACAGCTTCTACCAGACCCATTTGATGTTGACGTTTATCAATTGGGCATTGGGTACTGGGGTTTTTGTGGTGATGGCATTATCGTTGGAAAGGTAGAATAGTTAAATATAATTTCTAAAGTTATTTAGATACATTTCAATCGTCTTTCCGTTGCATTTCCGAGCTTGGAATTCACCACAAAGAGCGAACAAGGTAAGAAAAGGCTTTCAAAACTAAAAGTCTATTAATTTCCAGGCGATAATATTTTCCTATTTGATCCCAGTGTTCCTCTACATCCCCTATGGAACTTGTCGGTATCAAGCTACCGAAAACTGGGATGCAAAGGACAACGTCACATTCTATAAAGTGATCGATAGCGAAATTTCTCAATCTTTGGGATGGCAGGTAACAATTCTTGTCTGTTATAAAAGTTATTAACGATTTTAGTTATACAAATGGACCCGAGAGGGAATGCTTCGTTTTGGCCCAATCATCCTCCTATCAATTCTCAATGTCCAAATCATGTTCGCATTCCGGAAGCGCCAAAAAATGTTTGCCCAATTAACGAAGCGAAACGAGAAAAATTCAGCGCATCGTGGCAGCAATAAGTAGGTTACCTGTATCTTTCTAATCTTTCTTTTATTTTTTTAGAGACGACACACTACTCTACATGCTGGGTGGTACAGTGATCATGTTCTTCATCTGCAATATCCCGGCCGCCATTAATTTGATTCTCATTGACGAGGTAAGTGCTCCGCAAAATAGTATTACCTTTCCGGTTCTGGCCTAAAAACTTCAAATTCTATTTTAAGTTCGGCAATCAAAGATCAAACCTTTGCAGGCGCTGAAGAAACGATGGGATTATCAAATATTCCGGGCAGCAGCCAATCTGCTCGAAATTACGAATCATGCTTCTCAATTTTACGTGTTTTGTGCTTGCTCAACAGATTATAGGTATGGCCACATTTTAGTAAATTAAAATTGTATTTTTTAGAGTTACATTCCTTCAAAAATTCCCCTGCTTCCAAAAAAGTTATGCAAATAAGCGGATGCGTTCATTCGTCAAACGAACGCAATCTGTGATGAATCGAGAACGCGTAAGTTCAAATTCTTAGCCTTTAAGAATAATTTTTAAAATTATATAGGAATGCAATTAGCTCGATAAGGTATAAGAAACCATTAAAAATACGTTTCACCTACAGGGCGAGGGTTCTCCGCATTGGCTTTCGGTGCTATTCTATTTCCAAAATCAATTCGCCACATATTTCCAAGAAGAAGAGCCGGAAGAGCCACCGGCGGTGAGAAGCACCTCAAAATACACACTACCCCCCTCCCTGTTCAAAGCACAAATCGGGGCTATCCCGGTTTAACTTTACCCCCCAACAACAACTTTCCGGCACAAACTTCTGGCACAAACCTATTGGCTATATAGAAAATGAAGGAAACTATGCTTCTTATACTGTACTATGCAAATTTATTAGTAGTTTTAGTTAAAAAATCTAATATTTTTTAGGAAAGCGAGCCTGGGGTTGATGGGCATAGAGCGGAAGAATCGCCATCACATTCAAAAACCAGTAGACACGACGGAAATAGGGATCAAGATACGGTGGATATACATTTGGCTTCAGGTGAGATATTTGGATGCATTAAAAATAAAAACAGAATTAGTTATCTGACGTAAAAATAAAGGTTTTCAACTCTTTAGATGCACCTTGCAACACCCCTTAACCACCTACTACAAGAAAGTAATTCTGGGTTCCAGTTCAAAAAAACCTATGTTTTGTTAATACCCTAGGTTTTACCCCGCATCCAAAAGCCTTATTGATTCAAACCTAAATCTTGGTCTCCAACTGGTATCAAAACATATTGACGGCCCCCTATTTAATAGTAGTCGAATGTTCAGGGGAGTCGGACGGACTATCCGGCGAACGAGAAAGCGACTCCCTCATCCGCTACGGTGTCGTCGCATCGCTCAAAATGGCCGAAGACACCGCCGACAGCACATTTCTATAAAGTATGGTAGAAACAACATCTGTAGATTAAATTTCAAGCTTAATTTTATTGCTAAGCTGAACTATTCTCCGTTGTGCGCCCAGAGCAATACGTGTATCTCTTGATCTCCCTCGTCCCACCCGTCTCCAATTCGTTTATGTATTCACTTCTCTTTTGTGTTTTATCCCCCGTGAATTTTTGTGCCCTCTTATTGATTTGCGAAGAACTGGCTCGTGTCTGACATTACGCTTGGTACTGTACGGCTTCCTTATGATGCGATATATCATATAAAGCATCAGCTTTTTGAAGGATTTACGACAGGAAATACAGGTATAAATACACCGGAAAACCAAATGATACGTTTTCATAAGAATACCACGAAAATGAAAAATGAAGGGAGCGATACATGGAGGAGTCGTACAAAGAGCAGTATGACCGAAAATTACGTTGGGGAATTTGAAGCCATTAGCAAGTTTTTAAGGCTTAAAATCCATATTTAATCGCCAGCGACAAAAATGGAAATATATAATTGTGAGAAAGAGGCCGATGTAAAATGTTAGAAAAATATGCAACATTAAAAATTAAATTGAAATCATGGACAACCGAAATTCATCGGGTGTTCAGGGATTGTGCCAGCATAACGACCCTACATTGCAACCCAAATAAATGATGCTGGTCCGTTTAATTATGACATAGCACAAAAATAGCTCAAAACCCATTCTTGTATGCCAGAGTCTTCAATCCCTTCAGAACCAGCTGCGAACTGTTGCCACGAGACCATGGAACCATCCCTTCGAACGAGCAGCCTTGATCGCCCTCTTTTTCGCCTTTTTCTCAGCGCGCTTCCTTTCCCTCTTCTCCTTCTTCTTCCCCCGCTTCACTTGCTTCTCGGCCGCCTACATTAGCATAAAAATTCAGACGATCTTTTGAGCGTGGCAAAGGATCGGCAAGTATCGGAGCTAGCGTTTAGGCACAATGTCACACTTTTGAATTCTTCTAAAAGCTCGTCGGAAAGATTTTTGTGGGAATGGATAGTGGGTTTTGTTCAGCAAAAGCTGCGTTCGAAACTGAACTATACGATAAATTATTTTAATCTATCGAAAAATCGAAAAGACCGAAGGTCTAATCCCGAAACTTCTCAATCACTTGAAAAATGAAACCACCGCCATCATGCACCGAAACCCAAAAAAAATCACTATCCTTTGCGTTCTACCTCTGGCATAGGGGGAAGTTCAAATAGTACAGGAGGCACTGCTTCTTTTTCCCGGTCAAAATCATCCTTAAAAACGTCGGACCCTAATGCTACGACATCCCATTCAAAATTCACCTTCTCGTGATGCTCTTTAGTTTCCTCCAGCCAACGTTCAAAAGAGTAGTTTGTAGGCTAAAATAGTTCGCAGGATGTGATGTTAGTTAGATGTTAATTCTAGTCAAAATTAGCGGCCGGAAACTACTGTTAGCTTTTTTTATTTTGGGAGTTACCGTGTTATTCGGAATAAAGAAAGAGGGTCGGCGTCGGCTCCTGATGCTTTCGGTGACTTGATCCTAAAATTTACAGTTGAATCCTTTTATTAACTATCTTAAAATCTAATTTAATACTAAATCAATCGTTTCCCACCCAGGTCATCCGGTTCGGCTTTCGAATGATCGATGGACTGTACTAAAATGTTTTTTATTTATTTTGACGTTTAGTAAATGGACCTGGTATTCGGAGCCAATGCTGCTGCTGTCGTCCAGATTTGATAGGTTCAACTAAATTTGCCGATGTGCTGATAAATATAAATGATTAAAAAGCCGAGAAAACGAACCTATTGCCCTGGTTGAACAGTTTTAAGGACTCACCATGCCTCCGGAGTAGCGGCGATAGGCTAGCAGTGAAGACTAAGTAAGTATGTTCGATGATAATTATCCATGGAAAACCTGGTTTTTCATCTTTTGTTGGCGCCGTTTTAAGTTCCAAAGAGATCGGTAACTGGGTTTGCGATAGATGTTCTAAAGCAAGGCGATAAATAATAGCGTCGAAATCAGGGAGAGAGAGAGAGAGAGAGTGAGTGAGTGAGAGAGCGAGAGAGAAAAAGAGGAAGAATGAGATAGAGAGAGAGAGAGAGAGAGAGAGAGAGAAGCACCTGGGCTGTCGACGGAGGTGTGGCGATGTGTGAATAATGATGGTTTGGGATGTGCTAAACTTAATTCTTTAAACTTTAAATTACTGTTTACAAAACTGGACATACAATGGAAAGATCATTCGGCTTTAGAGAGCCGTGAAGAAACATTCAACTCCTAATTTCAACTTGTCCTTTTAAAAAAAGTAAAAATACAATAATAAATTGAATTACGATAATTTTTCATCGATTTTCGAAAACTACAAACTACAAGCTGAGTGTTTTTTGAAAAATCAAAGCACAATAAATAACAGAATAATACCTTAATATACATGAAGTATACCTCCTCAGATTCAGAAACCTCATCAATCGTCGGCAACTCAGGCTTTTTAGCTGTCGACTTAACCAAGCAAAAAGCCATTCTGAGTTGAAACTAAATGGAAATGTTGGGGGTGGCGCGGGGAGAGACATGAACATCAGATCCTTCCGATATGGCCAGCTGTGAGGGCATATGACTAATCGTCACACCGTTCACACAAACAAATCGACATCTCGAAAAACAAGGTCCAAACCTTTCTTTTTTGATGGAGGCAGCGAGCAGTGGCCGAACCGGAACGTGTAGTGTTTCCCCGTACAAAGTTGACGTTTCGGTTCTCCCAATATTGATTTCAGATGTCGCACAGGACCAGCCGAATTATAAATTCTGAACAAAACGCAGAGAATTCTCTTTTATTTCTCTTATGGTTACGGGCGATATTGCTTTTGATTATGCGGTTTGTCTGGGATCACACGTTATCTGGCTCATATTCGAAATCGGAAGAATTATTGTTAGAAAAGGATCGGACCGTGGGTGCCCGTCCGGTATCCTCGTGAAATTGGGTAGAAGCTAGACATCGTCCCCAAAAAAAAATTAATTACGAGCTGGACAACCATTTCACCCTTCCCACCTCTGCATTTTTGACATATTAGCCCATTTTTTAATTCGCTGTTATTAGTTCCAAATCTGGATCACAACAGTTTATTGACGCATTGTAAGCAATATATGCAAAGGATAATAAACCCAAGAATTCGTATAGTAAGAATTAATTTTAGTTAATAAAAGAAGGGTCATTACACATCATAGGGGTTAATATCAAACCTCTTGGGGAATAGAAACAATATAGACAAGTCCTTCAACTTAAACTAAAGGTATAAAACCCTCAAGACGCCCAAAACCGGGGGTAATATAATTAAAAGGACAGAATGATGGAATATCATCGGGAATAGTATTAGATTGAGTGGTTGGAGGAATACGGGAAGAAATTGGGGGAGAAACCAAATCGTAAGTAATTGGTGGAGAAATGGATTTGTCGGGAATCAGGAAATCGGAAATTGGAGAAACAGATAGGGAAGATTCAGAAGAAATACTTCCCAGACTTCCTTTTCGTTCTTCCACCTTCCGTTCCATCGATTTCGGGGCCATCGCCCGGCCATAAATATCTTCAGAAGTTATCGGAATATGGACCACCACACCAGAACGGAGTTTGCGACGAATGCTGAAAAATGAAATTTTAATTATTGAACTCAAAAACATTAATGCATCGTAAAGTGATAAGTAAATAAACGTACTATTTGGGATCATCGAAGTGATGGAAGAGTTTGATTTGGTGAGGAAGAGCCGGTTGGATCTCTCCATTGGCGAGAAGTTTCTCATAGAGAACGAGAGGCAATCCGTTGACAAGTTTGTGTACAAATTGACATCTTTGAGCATAAGGACATCGACCTTCGGCCGAGAAATTGGCGCAAAGCTTGGTCTTATATTTCGTATCTTCAGGTTTGATGGTGGGACGAAGTTCTTCTTGATGATGGGCAAATCGGCAGAATATTCCGAATGGACATTCATTTAGACGGACAAATGTTTTGCACATTACTGTCTTGAATGAATGTTGTTGTTTCAAGGCTTTGTTTGCAGCCTTCATTGCCGAGAGCGATGCGATTTCAGCAGTAGGAAGTTGGAGTAGTGATGGGATTGGTTGCATGTTGTTGTAGTTGTTGTAGAATGATGAACTGATGAGGATACGCCAACCACTGGCTCTTATATACTTCATGGTATCTAATCAATACACTAAGGATACCCTACTTTCCACTACCATCCGGTGATATGGGGAGAAGCACTAAGGGAAAAAAGGGTAAGGAAGGGGTGGTTGGTGCTCCTTAGTGCAGTAAGATATATCAATCGATTCAATGTTTTGAGTGAGGCGGATTTTCAAAATTGATGCCATCTGTTCCGTATCAATCACCGTGACCCATTCAGAGCATCATTCCACTCAGTTCCAAAACATCCGTATCTACCTTGTCTTTCCCATCGAAACAGCCGTATTCCACGCTTTTGGTAAGTTATTTTTTCATGTCTAATTTGCTTATTGAATTCAAACAAAGTTTCCTTGTTGTCAGATTTCACAAAACTTTTCGCTCAAGTTTAGCTTGAAACTCAGAGCCATTTAGGTAAAAAAAGTTCAGCCTGTATACCTGATGCGTTATCAACAAAAATTCCAATATCCTCACCTACCTATATAAAAAAGTAGCCAGCCTTATATAAAAACAAAAATACTCCGTTGTTAAAGTAGCGAAGAGATTTTTTACCCTGGTTTCACTTAGGATACTTGATCTCTGTGATTAAAAAACCCAAAACAAAACTATTCTTTGTGAATTGTTAAATGCATTTTTTCAGAAATGGACGCCCGTGAAGCCCAAAGGATCCGTGCCCAATCCGAAAAACGCAACCAGAAATACTTCAAATTGGCGATGAAGACTATTATGGCCGACCTTCATGAGGCTGAAGAAAAACGCGAAAAGGCATGGAAGAAGTCAGTCAAACAACAGAAAGTATATGAAAAGAAGATGGCTAAGGAAGCCGAACTATTCGCCAAAATGGAAAAGAAGAACCAAGCCGAACAATTGAAACAACAAAGAGCCGATTCAAAGAAGATGATTGAAGAACTGAAGAAGAGACAAGCTGAGAAGCACAAGGAGGAACAGAAGAAATTGAAGGCAGAGGAAAAGCTGAAGAGACAGCAACAAAAAGAAGCTCAAGACCAGAAATTCTCATTGTTCAGACCTCTGCGAATTTTCCTTGCTTAAATTATCGTTGTTACTCCCGCATTTGTTGTAAAATGACCCTTCTCTCCTTTATCTTGTAAAAATTATCAAGTTGTCTGTACATACTTATCGCGTCGATTTGAAATAAAAATGTTAAATGAAATCGAAAGATTAAAATGCATGGCATTGGTAGAATGTAAAATACAGATATACAGAACGTAACATATGCTATTTTAGAAACTATTTGATGGTCTGTGATTGAATGGAATGGTTGATGGTTACACTGAGGATTTATGCGTTACTGTCGGCCTGGCGGATCCCTGGTGGTCCCCGATTGGATTTTGAATTCAACCCTTACCTTATCTTACCTCCAACCACGCCTTTAAAGGATAAGGAAGGCCCGGTAGATCAGGCTCATCTGTCATTGGTAGCGAGCCAAGTAAAAACTGAGCAGAGAGTGGGGCGCAACCGACCCTTTAAAGCTGAAAATCAAGCGTCCTGACAGAGTGAAGGCAGCAATTAGCATCCGGTTGTTGCATACAACAAGCGTTATCAGAGTTTTTGCCATCAAGACGAAAATTAAAGTAATAAATTTCATTTTTTTTTTGCAAGCGCCTTCGATACCTAGAAAAATCGTCAAAATGGGACGCTTCTCCGGCCCAGTAAAGGGCTGTTATTTTGGGATCTGCGTAGAATATTTTCCAAGGATAAGGTTATTTCTTTCACTCAACCAGCCTGGTTGTCGGACTCCTTCTCAATTTTTTGTCTTGGCAATGTGAGATTTCTTGGAAAACATTCACTCGATAAACCGCTATTTTCGTCAGACTCAGTCAATTAGTGTGCGACCAATAGTGCGCCCAGCATCCGATCTCTCCGGATATTCTGAGTACAAACTCCACCAGCTCCATTAATGTCGTTAGAGGTGTGTCATTAATGCAAATCTACCGGATGGCACTCTATCAACGGGCGAGTGATGACATTTCTGTAGTCTATGGGGTGTCCACATCTGTCGATTAACGGTATAAAAGAAAGGGAAAAGAGATACTAGTCATTCCCACCAAAGTCCCCACTTCAAGGATCAACAATGTTCTTCATTGGCCTGCCCAACCCGCTTCACCTCCTGCCATCCGCCTACTACCCGGCCACATGCGCTCTGGAGTATCAACTTGAAGCTTTGAAGGTTTGTACTATACAAAAAATCATAAGGAAATAGTTTTAAGTTGCAAGCTGCGGCGACAGCTTATCTACTGCCTCAAACCCCTGAATATTTCCGCTATCGTGCCAACAATGAAGTTCAAAGGTAGGTGGCTAAACTTGAATTTAAAAAGCTAATTGACTTACTTTACATGTATGGTATTTTTTATTTACCCAAAAGAAGACTTCAAATGAGGGTATCAAAAAACAACAATAGGAGAATAGCATTTAAAATTTATATATTCTTGCCAACCCCACCTGTTTTTGGTATTGTAAACCACCTAAAGATACTAATAATAGAAGGACACCCCAAACATACGATGTTACTACGCACATAATTTTCAAAAAGGGGTTAGATCCTCCATTTTTTCAATCACCCGGGAGCGGGTTTTTAGGAGTGGGGATCTTATGACCAAAGGGGCGCTTATCTTAAAGAAAAGAAGATGTATAGTAAAATTAATTAACAAATTCATTATTTTTTAGAAAGCACGAACAACTGGCCTCATCAACCCAACTATCCGCTCCGACTTTGCCGACTCGGCTTCGTCGTGAGCCGAAAATCCAGGTGGAACGAGTCATGGAAAAGCAGGCACCTTTGAGGACAACTCCGGAACTCGGGGAAATTGGGTTAGTACTTTTATAAGAGCGTTAATATAAAATTCGCGCCGTCATTTTGATAAACTTAAAAATTACTATTAGTAAAAGGTAACAAACGTTCCCGATAGATTTAAAGCTAGAATCAGCTTCTCTCCCGCTTTAGCTATCCCCACGAAATTGCGCAACCTCAAGTCACACTTTCAGCCCAATCGACGCACCACTCGAAAGCCCACGCCCGTCAGCCCGGAAATATGAACGTATGGCACCGAGCCAACAACGAAGCGATATGCCCGAACTCTCACACTTCGAAGAGCGCTGCCCGAACTGTGACTCAAACAAGCCGTGCTCAAAACTAGTTTCTGAGGTATCATCCTATTTCCCGTTCGAAATGGATTACATTAATGCCTGTGCCCCTCTCTGTATCAAATCCAGTCTTGCCCCTATGGTCAAACTATATTTGAAAAAACTCTGCGCCGTGCAGCCCGAATTCCGACCCTGGTTGTAAATGCCTATCCTTGATAATTCTCTTGTACCTAGGTCTTGTTTTTTCTTGTTGAAGTTGATGTTCATGTACATGGATTGCTGAGGATAAATCTGGAATTCAGTAATTTTATTGAAAAAACAACGAGTGAATCTCGCGCAACGACTGCTCGTATCTGAAGGCGTTTTTGAGGCGAAAATAGTCTATGACGAAAGGTCGCTTGTTCATTGCACTTCGATGTTCGAAAAATAATTGGCCTTTTGCCGCTCGAAACCCCCGAAAAGTCAACACCTCAAGAAAATCGTATCAACAACATCAGGGCCTCCCAGGTTTTCCCACTTTTTGGCACTATTCGGCATGCCCTTTCATATGCAAATTGAGTTCCTGAACAAAATTCACGATCGGCCACAAATTCAAATTCGCCAGTCCATCAGTCGAGCTCGTCGGAATTTCGCCATGGACCCATTTAAACCGGCTTGAAACCCTGATTTTGATGTGCTAACTGGCATAGCCAGAACGCCACGTTTGTGATTTGGACGATTTTTTCAAGTTGCAACTAGGCACCCGGCAAGCCCCCTCATCGGTCGTGCCTTCCAACTCCGATTTCGCTAGAAACCAACCGTGCTAAATTGTGTTAATCTAGGCATCTGAAATAGCACAAAAACTAGTAGGAAAAGGTTTAGTACGAAACCTGTCAGGCCCTGGTGTAGTTGCTAGGATTTTTCGAATTGTGCACTTTTCGTCGTAAAAATGTATTTTTTTGAAATTTCGCCAAAAATTTCGAAGATGCGCATTGCGCTAAGGAGGAAGGGGATAAGAATGACGCGTGAGCAAAGAGTTCTCTGCCGCGCTGGGGAGTAGAACCCACGCCCTCCTACTAGGAATGTGGCAGCACCACTAACCGAGTGCGCCGCGGTCCACGGCCCCTCTCGGCGCATGGCCCTGGATTGCCATGCGCAGAGGAAGGCGGGAAACTGCCAATATCAAATCTTTCCAATAACTTTTGTGAACAGAAAAGACACTTTCTTTTCTTGTTCTTATGCCGTATTCGTATTTCCTTTGAATTAAAACGGTTTTATTTATTGAATTCGCTGAATTACTTATTAATTCCTTGGTTTCAGAATGGTGTTTATCGTAATTCGACTAGTTGGGGAAGTAGAAGATCGACTGTTCGAAAATATTATCGTGAAAACCGAGGTTTGTGAACTTTGTTCACTGGCTTTATCTAAAAGGTAAATGATTTACAGATTTCGCGTATTGAATTCTTGAAGCGTATCGAGGCAGTAACAAAGATTCCAATCGTCCATCAACAAATTCAATTACGTGGTGAAAAGCTTCCTGATTCCCTTCAACCTCTTTTATTAGCCAAGGATTTTGATGAAGTTGTAGTGGTAAGTTGAATTTTTATCTTCAGAATTTACTGTTTATTGTTTTTTTGCAGCTAGAGAATTAACTTTCTGGCTCATTGCGTTATGGCTAACACATCAAAGACACTCAAATAATTAGACAATTGTCCTCTAGTGAACTTATAACAGTTTTTATTAATTTTTTGTCGTACAAAGTTCAATATAAGCCCATTTTAGAAACACGACGGACTTAAAACTTGGGCAGCTTGCTTGGTGATTGCTGATGGCATGACGAAGAAAAAGGCTGACCATTTGAAATCGAAGCACGCGAAGCACGGGGTGCAGCTTCTAAACAATTTGGAAAGCGCCAACTTTTTTGCGACGTATCCAGGTTTCTATGAAAGGAACATTGACATTTCCGACACATTTGACCGCTACGTTATTGGCATTGAGGAGAATATCAAGTTGGTAAGTGCATTTCTTGGTTCATTTTGAAGTCACATCAGAAGTCGCATCCACGATCACCGGCAAAATCACCAGCCGTGCCGCGACGACCACAAGTTGACCAGCCCGATATCGTTGCCCAACAACCGCAATTTGAACAACTCGATGACGTTGTTCAACAACCACAAGGACGCGACGACGAACCTGAAGTTCGTCAACAAGATCAAGCACAACCTGTGAAGAAGACAAAGAAGACTGATGCCCTTGGACCGATCCTTCACCACAAGCGCATCCGGAAGCCGCCGTCGCGATATCAAGATTGAAGTGCCGTCAACGTCGTATCCATCAAGCTCAACTTCATCACCAGTCAAGCTCTTCATTCAAGGAGGAAGATGTTGCGGAAGCAAGAGAAGAAAGTCTTTTGATCCAATTACGCGATGCCAGTACGGCGCACCCCTTTGCACTACGCCCTGTGTGCGCCCTCCCCGTCCCCCGGCACAACCCCTTTTTTGTGCGTGTCTTTTTTCACTCTTCCACTTCGCCCGTCTTGTCCGGCTGCTTGTGTTATTTTAGGCCATTGCCGTTATTTAGATAAATACTTTGTTCTCTCTTCTTTCGTCCAAATCAATTCAGGTGTCAAACGACTCTCTCGCAAGGTATCCCCTTGGATTGAGCCAGCACTCAAGAACTCACGCACAGCCACACCTACAACAAGACCAGTTTAAAGATTGTTGTAAGAGGTGTCAAGGATACTGTTTTTTAGGCTGTGACGTCCTATTTCAAGAACCATTACAAGGATGACCAACTGGCTGTGAATTTTTTGCCCAAGCCGGATACTGGTGCTCAGGTAATCATTTTTTACATCATTCCTCTCATACTGCTATTCAGGGAGGATTCATTTGCCAGGTTGCAAATGGTGAGTTCTTTGTCAAGAATCACACATTCATGGGGCGTAGTTCGAACCATTCCCGTGTTGATCTTCGAGCACTTTTCGTGTACCGTGTGTTGCATCTGATGGGAGCTGGTGCTGAGCCGCATTTTATTGGGACTGCGTACTCAAATGTGTACGTCTCCAAGTTAGCTCTGCACATTGCAACCAAGAGAGGTAATGTTATGTCTTTGTTCTACGAAATACGTTATGTTATTTCAGTTCCTGGATTCCAACGGCGGGCCAACCGTTCGACTTGCAATTTCTCAGCCAACCACCAAATGCAGCTGAATCTCATCCAGGAAATATTCTATTTGTCCGATCTAAACTCTGGGAACTTTGGCCTTGATGAGCAACAGCGACTGTTCGTAGTGGATTTTGTGGTAATGGAATTCGCTCGGTTATTCCGTTTATTGGTCAATTTGAGGTTGCGCCGCCGAAAGACTGCGTTCATCGAGCTTCAGTATTTGACCAATTCCGCGAGAACACTGAAACCTGCGAGGAGGCCTTGAGGAACTGGAATTTGCTGGAGAACGTGAATGCAACAAATAGCAGCCTACTCGATGATCGCCAGCGACTGAACAGAATCATCTGGAGAGATGGCTATGACGAATATTTGGAAAATGTTCTCAGGAATGTCAATCTTTTCCAGAATTTGTTCTCACAATAATTTGTTACTTTTCCGTAGTTTTTTGTTGTAGGAGTTCAGTGTGATGGCATTGTCCGCATTTTTGTTTTGTTTTGAAAGAGAAGATATCCCAATTCCCCCGGCTTGAACCTAGATACGATAGGCAAATCGCGTTAAATGTAAAAAATTGCTATCTAATCTGGATAAAAATATCTCTACTCAAAACTAGTCTTCAATATCTCATCCTATTTCCCCACACGAAATGGATCACATTAATTAAATTGATGCGAGTGCCCCTCTTTGTATCTAATCTGGTATCGCCCTATGGTCAAACTATATTTACAAAAAGCTCTGCACGAATTTCGATTCGAATTTCGGGCTGATTTCGGATTCCTGATATTTTTTTTATTTCTCTTGATGATTTTGTTTTTCTTGTTGAAGTTGATGTTCATGTACATGGATTGCTGATGATAACTCTGGAATTCAGTAATTTTATTGAAAGAAACAACGGGTGATCACAGCATGACATTATACCCATCCAAGTTGGCGACCATGGCCAAAAAACTCGCGCCGCGACTGCTCGTATTTGAAGGCGTTTTTGAGGCGAAAATAGTCGTATGCATTGTAGAGGGCTTGTAGCGCGGCCAAATTGTAGAACATTTGGACGAGAAGGAGGAGAACGACGAGGGCAATGTGCCATTCAGCGTTTGAATCTGAATGTATGATTTTATCCTGGGTTAAATCTGGTATAACGTGACATTACAGCCATTATTAAGGCATAAGTATGCAGATTTTCGAGGAATTTAATATAGCATAAATCATAATTTGGCGTAGATAATACAAAAAAGCCGTTTGGTTGAATAAATGTACAAAATTTTTCATATTTTGCCTTTGTTTAAAATCACGGGATCTAGCTTGACGAATCTTAATTTGTTTTAATTAAGACATTTCGTTAATGTAATACTAATCGATATTTTTAAACTTTTGAATTGTGTTATTGATAGATATATTTTTACAAAAACTCCAATTAAGCGTATAACATCTAACCATACAAGGTTATGAGAATTTTAGGTCTTTTATCGTATTATGCCTCAAAAAACTTACTAGTTATCGTCCTGAACCGCAATGAAATAAACCGTAGCAACACAGCCTTATTAAAAATTGCAAATATGCATGAAAAGCTGAGGAGCAGCACATAGAGCACGAGTTGAAAACCCTAAATCCTACTATATATAAAAAAATAGTGTTTGTGTGTGTGTGTGTGTCCACTTTGCATCCACTTCCGTGTGGCTGTCCGGAGGATATCTCAAGAAGGGACGGGTATTGGGCTACGTATGATACGTCATTAGGTGCGTAATGGTCTAGGGATGAATGCACACATATCAGACTTTTAAAAATGAGCCATTTTGGCTATTAAATTTAGGTTTTTGTAAAAACCTCTTTGTTAGGAATAATTAGCATAGACCGGAAGTGGGCGGCCGTCTATATAAAGAGGCAGAAGGGGTTGTTTTTCATTTTTTTGTCTGCTGAATGGAGAACAATTATGCAAAGGGCAGAATAGTATGGGGTTCTAGACGGGGCCAGGGTTGAAAAGTCGCGAAGCGGCTTTTCAACCCTGGTTAACCCTTATTTTTCTAGATTTTCCTCTTACCTTAACGAACATCAAAAACCATAAATAATGTTGTTGCTCTTTGAGCATGCCGACAATCACTGAACAAATTGCCGCTCCGGAAACACACTAAAGAACAATTATCATTTTGTATAACTCCACCTACCAATTGAATAAAACATAGCGCATCAAAATAGCCGACGGTCAAGGGAATAATCAGGGCATAGGAAAGGAGGAGAATTATGTCAAGCCATATTGTTAGCCAAGCGGCTTGCTTAAAATAAATTTTAGTATATTACAAAATTTGTAGTTTTTATTAAAGCAAAAACAAACTTACGATAACATGCACCTTCCTGGAGAATGTGGTGAATGACTCGCCGAAAAAATATCGGTCGTCATTCATCCAAAGTTCCACCAACTGCCTTTGTACGCCAATGTGAGGGGCAGGTGAAATTGACCTAAATATTAAAAAGGTGTGATTTTAAATGAATCAAAAGGATTAAGCAGGAGTCCAAAATTGATACGTATTATTGGTTGCGAGCGCAACATAACACCAAGGAGAATGAGCTAAGAGAGCGCATTATTCAATTGATTTTTCAAATTTTCATTTTATGATTCTCATAAATTTCCTTAATTTTTTTTTATAAATTCATAAATTTTCTTCAAAGTTTATTTTATGATAATTATGATAATTTGAGTCAAGGACCAATAGAAAAAAAATAGCGAAAAGATTATGTTAAGATCAAATTACAGGGGGTTATTTAGATCCTTGATATTCGAGATAGGTAATTTTAGTTATCCGAAAATAGCTTTTAAGCTTAAAAAATCTTAAAGCTCGCTGGTGTTAATTAGCTAACTAACCAATAAAATATAATTTACCAACACTTCCACTAAACTAAGACCCCCAATGATCTCCCTAGACCCTTACCACCTCCCCGGAACTATTAGTTCCCTCCAGGGGTGGGCCCCAACCCGTAAAAACAAACATTCTGTTGTTAACGAACCAACGGAATTAATGGGTGTAAAAGAGTGGGAAAGTAGGGAAAATTGATTGATGATGTGGCTCGGAGTTGGAGCCGAGAACAGGCGTTCCCTTAAATCCCCCCCTGCTCTTGCTCCCCCTTGGGGGCCGGGACTTCCCTCCTGCCAGCAAGCACTTCTGTCACAGGCTCCATTTTCAACAAGTCGCCCCTGTCTTTTTCTTCGCCTTCATCCCGCCCTTCACAAGCCACCATCCCCGTTGGGCTGGTTGTGCACCAAATGATTCAGCCCTGAAATATGGCCCCCACATGGGCCAATAGCCCAACCAGGGGTCTAGGGATAGACACTAGAGGAATTTGTAGTCGAATGCTGATGTTTTCGGCATTTGAGAAGAGCCGAAAATCCAAAAACGATTCAAATGCAAGGAATGCAACCAGCTGATTTTGTCGTCGGTTGTTGATGGCGCTTACAAAGATACTTTTTTAGTGACAATCGTGTTTCCTTACGGGAACAAGTCTATCTTGTGCAGAATTTTGCGCACTGGTTTCAAAACATGCGAAACGATTAGATAAAAAAACATTATGTAGCCTTTTATGGTGAAAAAGGCAAAGCGGGCCTTGTTGGGCCTTCTTCGCACTTCAAACCTTTACAACTTTTTAAATTATCTGGCCGATTTGAAAGCTGATCCGGAGCCAGCGCAAAATTCTGCAAAGACGAGGCTTGATCCCGTTCCGAAAACTCGATTAACACGAAAAACGTCACCTTGCTAGGAGCAGTCGAAAAATCCAAAAATGTAAAATATGATTTAAAAGCCAGGGATAACTATGTGGGGAATTTATAGTCAAATGACCGCATATATTCGCATCATTCGAGAAGCTCCAAAAACCGAATATACGATTTAGGAGCCCGGGCTAAACAAAGGAGGAATTTGTAATAAATGATGGCATTTGGAGCCTCTGAGGAGCCCCAGAAAGCCTAAAGTATGATTTAAAGCGGCTGGTTTTTCGAAACACCTGGTGAGCGAGGGAGCTACAAAATAAATGAGCAAATTTATCAGAGGGCTTTCGTAAGTGGTTGTGCTGCGGAATGGGGACTGAGTCAGGGTTTAGGAGAAATTTTGATAAGGGGTAGAGTTTGGCTTGCACAAAATTATAGAATCATCAGAAACGGAAAATCTTGCTTAAGCTTATGACAAAAGGAAGCAGTTTTTGAGGAACAAGGACTAGCATGAGGCTAAATTCATATAAAAAACTGGAAATGAATTGCTAAAAAATCACGCACCTAATGCTGAAATCATTGGATAGGCTTAAGGTAAAAATAATTCACTGTAATACAAGCAAAAATTGTATCTAAAAGTTAAGAATCTCGTTTTGAAGCGGAGGTAACGCTGTATAAGCAGCGCGAGAAAATTAGCAGAGTTAGCCACAAACAGTTAACAAAAAAAAATAAAAATGCCTGTGGATAAATAGACCGGCTAGGACAACAGCCGAATCATAAACCCTTCATTTTGGGCCCCGGGGGCCCGGGGGGGGGGGGGGAAAAATTAAGGGGGGGGGGCCCCCCCCCTTCCCCCCCCCCCCCCCCCGGAGCCCCCACCCTTCTTTCCCCCCCCCCCCCCCCCCCCCCCCCCCCCCCCCCCCTCCCCCCCCCCCCTCACCCCACCCCCCCCACCCCCGCATTTGCGGGGGAATTCCCCCCTCCAAACAATAATTAAAAACAGCTGACAACCATTGGTATGGAGCAGGGCAATATAACAGGGTGTCCGGGGGAATTGGAATGGCCACCGGTACTTGGGCAGCAATTAGTGGGTAGTTGAGGTTGTTCAGAGGCTCATCAACCCCCTCCCCCAGCCAGACCCATCGAACTTTCTCTACTAATGGCCGGAACCCCACTAATGTCACCCCACCCCTGGGATTAATCATATCATAACATCGATGGTTTCAAGAGGAATAGAGTTTACAAAAAGAACCACAGCGGGTGCCAAGACAACGCCTAAGCATCCTAGAGCTAGAGCTAGAGCTGTCTACCATTTACCCCCAAGTCTAATGGCCAAAAAAGCACATTTTAACGTCGACGACCATGAAAAACGGCACAAACTGAATTACAGCTTAAACAATGTAGTATGAAAGAGTTATAGCAACAATATGATTGAGCTTTGAAAATGGAATCGTCAAGCTAGATTTTGATATTCTAGCTGGTTTTTTTTATATCATCTAAAGGATGTCCGGTAGAGTGCCAAGCGGAGTTGTGGCAAAGCTGTTCAAGACTAATTTATTGTGAAAATTTTTAAAATTTAAGATAGCGGGGATCCAAGGCTACTACCGTAATTTTTAAAAAGAATCTACATTTCTCGGCAGGTCTCAAAAGGTTATGCGATAGAGCATCGAAAAATATCCCAGTAAGTGTGATTTTAGCTCTAAATATTGAAATATAAAATATCCATAATGAAAAATGGGATCTGGACCTGACAAAAATCAGAACGTTGGTCGTAATAATAAATCTAAAAATCCGTCTGGACGTGGTAAAGTAAAGTGTTACCATATCCTCAACCAACCACTCTAACACCCAACGCAAAACCGTGGATAGCCACAAAAAGTAAGGCGATACCCCCCTCCTCGCAGATAGGCGCCGCCGTGGCGAAGGAGGCATTTTTTGGGCAAGCAGCCCCTCGGGGTGGACAGGTGACTCTCAACCACACCAGGAACAACCCCAAAACCCCCCATGTTGCATGTCCGAAATGTTGGCCCGCCCAGTTTGACATGAGACTCTTGTCACTCTGCCTTGTAGCTAGAGCAGGTTACGAAAGTCTGAGGGTTGAAGCGCTAGGGATTGTTCTGTGAAACAGCGTTGCAGTGCACAAAATGAGGATGGTGTTTTGAACAGGTTGTCTGCAAAACAAGCGGGATTCAGAGGAAAACAGAGGTCGGGACTGGGAATGTGCTGGAAAATGTCTCGCGGAAAAATGGGCTGATGGCGTGGTGATTTTGCTGCATTCTTTGAATTTGTGATGTCGATGATTTGCATGTGAATAAATTAATCTGCATTTTCACGGAATAGCAACAAAATTTTAAGGCAGAATTCAGACGCGGAATAGACGGTCGTCGGCTTGCAAAATTAATTTTTTTTTGACTACAGAGCTGGGACGGTGAAAGTTTTTCAGATTAAACAATCTTGCACAAAAAGCGTAGGGATACAGATGCTAAAAACAGATTACTTGCACTATTCAGTACGACCTCCCGTCGACCAGCGATCTAAATGTTTAGATATCGTCGGATACGCCCCCTAACAACAAGATCAAACCGATAACCTATCGGTTGGCATCGAGGCAGTTCTCATTCGCCGAATCTTTGTAATTCTCTACCATTTTTAGCTTATAATTTTTTAATTGGTTTTAGATTTAATCTTTAAACTCAACAGAAAAATGTGCGTACTCCTTGCATTACTATACAGCGGAGGCTAAAGCGCAAGACGTCCCACACCCGATTTCTTCCCATACCCCCGCCAATTGATTTATCGGCTTCGCATCGGAAAAAGGAAATGGAATAATAATGTGTGATTTCACAAATAAGTCGATTCATCCGGTATTGAAAAAATTGCTGAGATCGCCGGTGGGCGACAGCGAGTGGTCATTTGACGGCGGCAGCGGGTGGTCAACGCATTTTTGTGTTTGATTTTGAACAATTCCCAGGCCGTGGCCGCCGTGTGTTTAGGCAGGGCAATTTTTAGAATTTGTCCCTGTGGTCTGGGGGGAAGGGATTTTCAGTAACGATGGCTTTGCGTTTACGACAAGTTTTGTTGCGATTTTGCGGGGCGTGTCCATAAAAATCAAACCGTTCTAACGCATCCACGCCCACGGATAGGCTTAAGCTTTGTTGTGACGTTTTTAAGTAGATCAAGTCATTTTAATAGCATTTGGCGTAACTGAAACGCGCAGTTTGATTACCAGTCTCTATGAGAGATTTTTGGGTACCAAAGGGGTAATATTTGATTTGTCTTTCATCTGAATTAGACCAGATCATTTTAATTTTATTTCACGTTATTCAGTGTGCGGTGGCAACCTCAGAAATCGTCAGCTAATCACATGGTGGCTGAGCCGGAGTGTGGCTAGAGGGCTGGCTCGACAAATCGCCAGGTGCAATACAGACGAGAGCCGTTGATTTCACGTGTAAGGTTAAGCCAGCAACAACAGTAGCTCAGTGGAGATTTTGGACCTTTCTGGGAAATCTTAGAAACTGAATTTCGCTGGAAATTGGTTCAAAGATTTGAGGTTTCAAATTTAAGTTCTCGGACTCTTCCAGAAACGAAAAAGCATGTTAGCATTCCCCAAAACTTGCAAAATTTTACTATGTCCTGGATACACCGCAAAAAGTGCCAGAAGCTAGTTTTTCGCGCCCTGATTAGCATAGTCACGGGGAGGGGCAGAAGCCCAAATGATCGCTCGCCTTGTGCGAACCCCCTTTCTTTTCGGGCTGGGAAAAGGTAATGGTGTTGTGAATTCTCAGACAATTATCTGGTATTTTTGAGGGTGACTTTCAAGTTTTTCTGGTGTACTCCAGAGAAGAATGTTGTAAATTATCAAGTGTTGCTTCAACGCAAATTTTATCAACGCGTAATTTTGTCGTTTTCAGAATCAGGAAATTATTCATTCGTAATAAGATTTTTCCAACGTAGATTGCCTAAATTGTTTATTGGATTAGATTCTCCGAGATAGACATTTGACATTCACCGCATTAACCGAAATAAAGTTGTTTTCTATATATCTCTACACTTACCCATTGCAGCCCAATTAGGGTCCTAAGCGATGATGAGTCCCTGCCCCAAGCCACCCCATCATAAGGGATTTTCGCCAACGTTTCCGCGCACCGCGATAATTCCTTCAACTCGTCGCTTAGGGCTACCATTCCGGGGTACCACCTCCTCCTCTCCTTTAAACAGTCCATACTCCTCCGGAAACTACCTCTCATTACCCACCAATTTCCTGATCTTCTCGTTATTCCATCTATACGACCCGTTTTTTGGAATGCCCGAATTGCCAACCGCCCCAAAACCGCCCATTCCATTTCGCTACAAATTTTGGTTTTCACGCTGCCCTTTCTCGGGATCAGCCACGCGCAAAAACGCGGTTTTTTCGGTGGCTATTCGCGGCAAAACGCCCAATCGCGACCTAGGTAGAATTAATTGCCTTCTCAGTATTCTCAGCCAAAACAGGTGTTTTCGAGTATAGCAGGATGAAGTTTTTTACACCGGGGTCAAGCCAAAGGTGATCTATTTCAGAAAAAGTTTGGTTGGGGGTAGAGATCAGGTGCAACCTTTTCAGATCCAGTTCTGTGTCTGGCGCTAAACTTTTGGTCAATAACTTTTTGGGATACAATGTCCACGTGGCAACCCTGTATTAACTGGAAGCGGTCAAGAGGGGTGGAGCTGGTCCATAATTAAATCATTGCGTAGCCCGTGAGCTTTGCTGAAATAATGGAAAAGAGAATGAAGACTATATTAAAGCTGTTCGCAAAGTGGGGTCTGAATTTTTCGCGCGAGAGTTTATCTGGCTTTGTAAGCATGGTTTATTTTTCTGCAAGGGATCCGGGTTATAATCCGAATATGCAATGAGGGAGGGGGGCTTTTTAATTTGGATGTTGGGAGGTGGATGGATGGTTTAGACGGTGACGCCAATATGGGTTTTCGGTTGTGCCTATTAGGCGTGTCGTTCGTTAGAGGGGCTTTACCCTCCATGGGTCCCTATTTTGCATTAGTTAAGCGGCCCCTTTGATGGCCGGAAAATATTGCTAATTAAAATCTAAGGGTTTTTTAAAGCCGCCAATTAAATATGGCGTATTTGATTGGTAGATAGCTTTATTTAGAAAAATTTCTAGCTTTTAGTAGATACTGAAATTAACAATTTTCTATTAAATTTTCCTTTTCTCGAATCGGAAAGCAACCAAAACCCACTAAAAAAATTCCCAATCAACCTGTAGCATTTTTCAGCTAAAATTACTTTTCATTAAAACAGAAATCAAACCACAATGCATGTATAAAATTTCCATAAACACTTGCCCCGGAAAACGCTCATTAGCCTACGACAGACGGTCCCAGTGGGAAATGTTAATTCATCAATTTAGCTATAATCATTCAGGCACCCGCGTTTCCCTTTCCATTGCTTTCCCCAAAAACCATTGATTACGGTAGCCGCCGGGCCGTGCGGCACGCATTTTTCGTAGCCATCTCATTTCAGTGTCAGCATCCCAGGCGGCCCAGAGCTCAGGAATTCATTTCAGAAATGCCTGTCCGCACCAGGAGCATGCGTAACCCGGAGGATGAATTGAAATACTTTTATCAAAAATCGGCGGTATGAATAGCTTTCTACGTTTGTTAAATGAATGGTTTAGGCCGAGAAAGAAGCCTACTGGAAGCGTGGTCTAGAACTTGCCGTCGGGATCTCACTTTTCCCAGATGTGAATGGAGCAGTAAGTATTTAAGAAGTAAAAGGTACTTTAATTTTAGCGCATCAATTCGCCTCAGGAACCACCACCAGAGCCAACGAAATATATGACGCAAGAGGTATTTCTTCGTTTTCTAAAAAAGTTTTGCAAACATTTAGGGCAAAAGTGTTATGGCCGCAGTTGGCGATTTCAAAGCTTGGATCGAACGTATGGAAGAAGAGCGTGACGTGAGTCCTAGATTTATCTCTCTAACTTTTATCTTAGAAGCGCTACTTCCGCCGTCGCTTCGTCCAGCTTGAGTTTGTTCTATTCATTGTGTACTACAAGGACAAGGTACGTTTTTTGAGCCTCAGTATTAGGTGCCAATTGCCCCCTCATTAGTTTGACGAAGCCAATTTGCCATAAGCGGCTTAGGAATTTATGGCTTCCCTTGCATTAACTTAATTGCCTTTTTGCAGTGCACGAACCAGGCCCTTCTCGTGGAGAAACACTTCTCAAAGTTCGAAGCCATGCGCGCTTGGCTGTTGGGGAAATTGTACGTGAAGCTTGACGAGGAAGAAGCCGCCAGGGAAAAGGTTCGGGATTATGACATTTTTCGATACTTGTAAACAATTTTTGTCTCCGAAATCCGTCAAAAAATTTAATTTTAGAATCCGGCTAAGCCAACGCCCGTCTCCCTGGAATGCCGACTCCCTGAATGCTTTTGTCACGACATCGACACGGAGAATATGCCGGAAATTCCCAGCCTAGATATGGAATTCTAGGCTTGCCCCCATGACGTTTCATTTCCCCCTACACTGCTGCCGATTATTTCGTGTTTTTATTTGTTCTGCTGGTTCTTATTAAAGATGATCGTTTTTATTTTGATTACATAATGCTTGAAACGTGGTCTGATGATCTAAAAATGGTTGTGTATTACCAGAAATATCCCTGCAACAAAATAAAAGCTTCTCAATTATTGCCCTCCAGCTTTGCACACCAAAACGGTGTCCGCATCTGAGAAAGTTATTTGGAATTGAGGCACCTGCCCCACCAGATGGGCCATAGAAAAGAGAGAATGAGTGAATAATTGTATATAGGAAGATAGGGGATCGATTGGATGTCGTGGAGGTATCTGCTCGGCAGATTCTTGCGGCACTATGATTTTTGGGATCGATTTGCTATAGAGGCTGGTGAGGTAAGCATCATGGCATCGTTTTTGTAAAGGGTTTTTAGCAATGGCAAGATAACAACCGTGTGGATCCGGCCGTTCTCTGCATCTTTGTCGCTTTTTTGCTGGTACTTATGCTGGGTGCTATCGATACCTAGGTGAAGATGTTGTTTTTCCTTTTTAGTGCAATAATTTCGGCTAATTTCACTTTTCCTGTGACGTAATACGGTTTTAAAACCATCTCATTTACTGTGGTGCTGTCGATTCTGCCATTTTTGCATTAATAAAAGCTTCCTCTTAAAAAATAATTCACAAATTCTACATTTTCAACTTTTCTCATCTTGCTGCAGCTGTTTGCGAGCTTCCATCAATTTCTAAAGAAAAATTAACAGGTGAGGATTATAATTACCTGAAAAATATCCCTCGATAAGACTACTTTAATGGACTTATCACGCGACTCAAATCTCCACCCCTCCTCGTCATCAATGCTAAAGTAAAAATGTGAATGTTTCCAGACAATTACCGTAGAGCGGTCCCAGGCTGTGAACCGGCCAGAATTCCCATGAAAAATTTGTGGTAATGTTTAAATGAAGGCCAGCACGCTCCGTCGTTTTCCGAGCGGCATGGGCTGTAGCGCAACTAAAGACATTGGGGACCGTGGTTAAAATATTATTATTACCTCACGAGGACGTTTGTTTTTAACGAATTCTAACATTCTTCGTATTGATGCTTCGGCTTGTCTAACGTTACAATGTTCATATCTTAAGCGCCGGATTAAACAATTCAAATAATTTACACAAATTTGATGTCTTCGAATCGGTTAAAAAGGTCGCCGATGAAAAATCGTCCTCCGTGATCATACCAAAGAGTGATACTATCTGGTGTGTGGCCTGGTGTCCATAAAACCTTCATTTTGGTTTTCGATTAGACTATGATTTTGTGATTTCGATACCTGGACCCGATTTTCCGGCAAACGATGATCACCCAAGAATATTTCCTCCTTATCCTCTATCCAGCGCGTCACTTTGTAGGTCTTTGTCTAAATTCCTTAATCTAGCCCAATAAAATCTTTTCTAACCTCCCATTGATGCGTCGAGTCCATCAAGCGGGTATAATTTTTGTTCCGAGCCGACGCGGCTAGGGCTTCGACCCTTTGGGCAAGGCCATATTTTCCGGTGGTTGAGAATCGCCAATTTCCACCGGTCTAGGTTTATTATCGAATTGTTTCGACCCTAATTGCCTGCTCTGCGTGGTTATGGGTATTTATGACAATAATCGGTCGCTGTCCAACTTGATCCAGTCGCTTTACATATAGGTAAATGTTGCTGAACCCACATCCGGTGTCGATTAGTAATGCTGGATTGAGGGTTCCAAAGCTATAAGCTGTGAAGGTACCTTTTTCAGTGCCCACAATCAAGTAGTTAATTGGGAAATAGTTACGATCGTCCAATTCGGTGATAGCCCAGACATTTTTGGAGAGTAGGTCGAGTTTGAAGTCGGCAGCCATTGCAGTGTGGGGAGGATGACCGGGAAGCTTCCAATACCCCCAACCATTGCATGCATTTTATATAAGAAAGGAGGGGCACTAGAAAAACGTGGCAAGCAACAACTAAGAAAAATATAGAGTCGATATTCTTATATCCTGGATCTGATGAAGTGTATTTTTGCGCTTAAATCCATTCTTTTCAAAATTTATCAATCATCATCGGGGACACATCTAGGCACTGTTCTGCTCCATCTTCCTGCTCCAACGCAAATTAGGACATTATCGGCAGATAGCCGATAACCATTTCCCGGACAATAATAAACAAGCTTATCGCCCACCAAATAATAGTCCTAAATGTCATCAATAATCTCGATTGTTTCCTTTTTTCTTACCTTTGCCGGTGATGTAGATTGCCCAAATTCAGGTGTCCCTGGATACTTGCAATAAGGTGAACCTAAAAAGTTCGCGAATGTTTTTATGATTTTACAAGTTGCGCCAGCAGAAGTCCATCTCCCATTAGCTTGGCACATTACAAAATCGGTGCCCGTCAACAGGTGGAAATCGACACATCCAAGCATCACGATGTCACCCTATAAATGCTTAATAGCTGCGTAATAATCACCCACTTTTCTGTAGACTTTAGTTACGCCATCTCCGATTACGTAGCCATTTTTGGGAGGTGATACCTATAAGTGAAAATAGACATGAAAATTAAATAGACGGGAAAGTAATTAAGTTATAGATTCAAGTAAACTGCCGATGTTATTTGTGGGTGATTTTAATCGACTAACCTGACCACATTGAACAACAGCACAATGTGGGACTTTATCACTCCAAGCACCTCTGGCGGTGCAGTGGACGTGTTCCTGGCCTATTAATGTGTAACCCTTTTCGCAGCTGAATTGCGCGATCCCTCCGAATTTGTAGGAAGACACAGTGGCTCCAAGGTATTGGTCAGTAATGACGAGTGGGGAGCATTGAACGGCTTAATTGGTAAATACTTTACTTCTTATTTATTCAAACCACCTTCACATTCCGGTGCATCATGAGACCATCTACCATCAGAGAGACATGTCGCTTGCATTGCTCCACTCACTTTATACCCGTTTGGGCATACAAATTGAGCGACAGTGCCTAATAGTACATGTTTTAGGAAAAGTTCATTCTTACCGACGAAGAAATTTCGCTGGGAAAAATGTACTTGTAAATGCGTGGAATTTCGTATCACTGGGCAGTTGACATCTGATGATCAATTACAATTACATCGAAATTAGTTTCCATACTCTGCACAAGCATTTTGATCGAATGCCGCTCGCCGAAAGGTGTGATACAGTGGAAAACACCATTATCCTCTGGCTGTGCGCCAACGACGGAAAGCTATGCGAACATTGAAATTCGAGCGTTTTATAGACCTGGTAAGCTTCCAGATTCTTCCATTTATCCACATCAATAGTTTCCCAATTTTGTGGATAGGTGCGGTAAGTGGATGTGGTTTCCTAGAACCGAAAATTGCCCTATAATCCCTATTCCTACCCAAACAGGGCGGCCTCTTGTCTTTGGTAATAGGCAACTGAAGGTAACAGTTGCCGAACGAGAAACGATCAATTCTCCCTTATTGGAAATTGCGTGTGGTGAGGGTTCAACCGTATAATATATTGGAGCTGCCTCATCTGAAAAGTTAAAATCCAAAATTCAGAAGCTCTAAAGGTCCTACCAGAACTATTACTTTGTGGGTCAAGGGGTTCACATCTAGGAGCTCTCGCCGTCCATTCACCCTCACGGCACTCGGCCTCCGTTTTGCCTCTCATCCGAAATCTTCCAATATCAGAACATCGGAAGAGGATTCTTGAGCTTTCTATATAGAAAAGGTATGCAAAGATATTGTTCAAACCAGGCAGTTTTTGATTAAATAGTAAGTGCTCCCTGCGCTCCACAGAATAGGCCAAAACACGTCCGGTCAGATCGGTTCGGAATTCACATGCCATGTCTGAATATAGGGGATATTCAAACAAATTTGATTATCAGTACCGTTCGGACACTCCAATTTTCCCTTACGACTCCATTTTCCACGTCGGCATTTCCATTCGACCGTCGGATCGTTTGGGGCCCAGATGCTACAACCAATCTGAAAAAGACATTCTAAACGCCTGTAAGTTAGTACCTGCAAAGAGGTAGCATGCGGAAATCTATTCTGTGATGACTGGACGTAATTCTCGATATTAACGATCCGAAACTGTCGATCGAGCGGTGGTTCAGGGCATGTACCCTCGCTGGTCACCTTCGGAAGTTCAGTAACATTTTCGGCAACTATGAAACATTAGGCTTTAGAAGATTATGACAGACGGCATGACAGCAAATTGCTCATCCATTTCCCTTCAACACATTCGATGCCACTAGCTTCGTCTCGAGATGAATCACATTTATAGCGAAAGATAGTTCCGTTGGGATAGACTTGTTGTAGTCGATCCAAGAAGAGCTTTTGCTCACCCTAGTATACGACTCGTCTTTGCAAGAAAAAGGCTCACCTGATATCGATATATCATTGCCGGCGTAGAATCCCTTGGAGGAATGCAATAGTGGGAGACTAAATTCTATTATATCGTTGATGTGAAAAGGAGATTCAACTGTTTTGAAAGCAGCTAGGTGTTGGTTGTAGCTTTCCACGGTTGCATTCAATTGTGATGTTTTGGGTCTGACATTCGAGGGTGATTTTTTGAGTATGGAGAAGGGTACGTAGCGGGGGAATGTAACGGCCGGTCGGGACTTGGTCGAGGATGCATTCTTCTGAAATGGCACAGTGTTAGCTAAAAAGCGAGACCTACGTGGTTGACATTCGCCAGGCATTTCTTCTAAAACGCCTCGGCTGCACTTTAGGACTGAAGGACCTCTAGAAAATCTCTTTTAGGCCCTTATTACTTTTCGAACCTACCTTAACTGAAATCCACGCAGGCAAATCATCTTGGCCACGCTTGAATCTGGCAGCAACCCGTCAGAATCGATAATTTGAGAATCATTCATACGCAAATAATAAACATGCAATCTAGTTGGAAGGCGGCAAGGGTCTAAAAATCACGAAGTCTCTAATTTATCCTTACTTGGAGTGCAAATAGGTGGTGGTGGATGCCATGAATTGTTAGCTTGATGGCAGAGAAGTCGAATGGAATTGGTGCCATGTTTCCCTTCATACCCTTCCCTGCAAGCCACCTACACACTATTGCCAAAATGAATTGGATTCAGGAGGCATTAAATGGAAATGAGAACCCACTGAGATCTCGTTGGCCGAATGGGGAACGATTAGCATCGAGTCGTCGTTGTGGATTCTGGGGCAATGCGAACGAGGCAGTGATGATCTTCTTGCGCGATGTCTAAGCTTCAAATAAACGTTACTTTAATATAATTACCTTAATATACTCCTTTTCTTTCGATCCCAAACAATATTCCCTTCAATCATTGGGTGTGTTTGCTGGGTGCATTTTGGCAAAACCTTTGGAACCCATTCTCCATCAACACACGAAGCTTTTGGGGAACCTAAATCGAAAAGGTTGTTAGATCAAAGACCCTTACCAATTAAATAAAAACCCTTTTCACATGAAAATACAATAGATTTTCCGACGTCCACCTAAATCAATGTCTAGAATTTCACTAGTCAAAAACCTTTTGAATATATGTTGCAAAATCGTAGGAGCCAAGCAGCCCTTCCAACATAATCTTTCCATTTGCAATTTGACCATAGGTTTCCGAGGGATGAGCGCAAGAAGCTAGAGATTAAATAGAGGATTATAAGTTAAGCTTTGCCTTACTAGCAATACATTTCAACGGTCCTTCATCTCTGGTCCATTCACCAAAAAGGCACTAAAGAATCTATAGTCGCTCCAAAATATCGATAGGTTTACCTTGATCGTATGCTGCTCAGAATTCAATCGATATCCAGGTTTGCATTCATATTTAGCTTTTGAACCATGTGAAGATTTCGTGAAAAGTACACGGGCGTGTGTAACTCGAGGTGGCCAAGCGTGGCAGCTTACTGGAATTACAGTTATTATAGTAGGGTTTAAGTATATTTGAACATATTTAAATACCTACATGGTTCACAAATTGGCTGGTGACTCCAGGTTGCATTGTGGCAAGTCATTGTCGTCAAGGATTTTGTTTCGTGGCGATCCTCACATTTTACTTCGACCTGTAATCAAATCTTCAGATTCTTTTCAAATGAAGACCTTTATGTTTAACAAAATAGCATTTTGCAAATATTTTTCTTTTATTTTTAGTTTAAAATTTTGTTCAGTTTCGTCTAGCCATCTGGGCAGCGGTAGGGAATTTTGGGGGTGGTCAGCCCACCCATTAGGATCTAAATGGGTGGCCACGGGACAGCACCTCCTTTGGGGCATTGGGTCCCAGGCAATATCGCCGAAAAACCCGGCTCAAAAGATTAGCCAAATGGGTCTCAAGCTGTGTATTATTCGCAATTCCATCCCAATAAACATAAATACAAACGCAAATCCAAATGATTTCACGAGATAAGATTTTAAGGATGGCAGGTCCTTAAAAAATGAGATTTTGAACCTCATTTTAGCACGACGTTTTTTTAGGGTCAATGATTTCAAATGGAAGACGATCGAAATATGTAAAAATAGGAAATATATTACTAATCTTTACAAAGCCAGAACTCTGCTCACGAAAACATTCCCACTGTTTATTGTCGTAAAGGATAGATGGCAATTTTGGCCTCGCGTAGTATGGGAGCATTTTCACTTCCCATTTAAACATTTGAAATTTTTATCCAATTAACCGGATTTTTTTGATCAAACTTAAGAAGCATAGCAATTGAACGCCCTAGAAAGACTAACTTGGGATCCGGACTGCACAAATGCTCCAACTTTATAGCCCTCCGTCTGCCCATTCTCAATTGCTTGCACTCGGCATACACCTAAATTAATAGAACTTTAAAAATAGAATGCGAATCTGTCACCTAGGCATCGTGGAGGTGGATGGGACCATTGACCGGATTGTAGACATTTCGCTTCGGTTGCTCCTTCATGTGTCATTTTTTCGTAGCACCTATGAGTTGCAAAAATTGCCCAGGAGTCCCACAATTACCGAAAAACCGCAACAGCTCCATAATGTGTTTCGCCACCTTCAATATAACCGTTGCTCAGATTCGGCAAGGGAGGGCAGCGAATTTCTAGAAATATTGATTATCGTCCTTTTAAACATATATCGATACCTTCACATCTTGGCTCTTGGCCTGCCCAAATCCCTTCGGCTAGACAGATTCGTTGAACTTGCCCAACTAGACGATAGCCGTCCTAACAAATTTTTAACGCTGTTATTATCAACACTTACTTTACAGGAGTAAGTTACTGTACTTTGATAGGTTAATGAAGCTCCTAGTACACGTCCGTTTAATGGATCAGGAGGTCTTGGACATTCAGTTGCTGAATTTTCAGTCTTAAAGCCTTAGAAACCCTCCCTACCTTTACAAACCGGTGTCGTTTCCGTCCACTCGCCATTACTTTCACATTTTCGGCTTGCAGGGCCGACCAGTAGGAAACCAGGAAGGCATTTGAAATGAACCTGAAACGATGTACAATAAAACAGCGCCGTATTTTGTACCTGGTGCGGATATTCAAAAACATCCCCTTCCCTGATCCCATTATCAGCTCTTCCTGGGTCCGAGCAGGTACGAGCTAAAACAATTCTTTATGAAGTCTGCATGTCAAACCTTTGCACTTCAAGTCCGGCCCAAACCATTGAGCAATATTTTTCCTATTTAATAGGCATTTAGCCAAGGCCAGGCCTTTCGAATTGAATCTGTGGTAGCCTGGTACGCAAGAGTATTGGACCTAAAAATCTATAAAGTTTTTGATGGCTGTTTACTTCTGTTTCAAGATCATATTCTCCGGAAAACGATGCGCCGTCATGGACTGCATACGGTAGTTCTGGCGGGGGTCCACATTTTACTAAAAAGGTGGGAAAATTTTGTTGAGTTGGATATTTACGTTGTAAGCGACAAATCGGTTGTGATCCACTCCAATCTCTGCTAGCCTGGCACCGGCGTTGCGATGGTCCGACCAAGACATAATCCTAAAGAAAATGATAGATACTCCCCATTTTAAGATGAAACCTTGTGACAACTGTATTCCGCATTTGACCCAAAGCGATATTCATTTGAAGTCCGAATATAACCATTATCGAGGTGATCCAGGGGATGGCAAGTGGCACCTAGGTGTTTTTATGTAGTTTTAGAGGCTCGAACGTTTTACTAGGATTTACACAGGACAACCCGCATTCACCATCACATAGGCAGCGTTTGTGGCCCTTGCATTCTTCATCGGATTCGCATATTCTTTTGCAGTGTTTCGGGCGGACACCGACAGGTTGTGGGCAATTATGGTAGGTTGGAAGGACGCTAAAAGTTAAAACTCAAGGATACCACTATAAAATTGAATTTTTTTTTGCATGGGAAAACCTTGGTTTTGCCTGAATTTTGCTTAAACAGAGCATTGGGCTTCAATTTTCACCCAAAATTCAATATGTTAATTATGATCCGTAGCGATATTGCAAAAACAACCTACCCAAGACAGAACAGTTGGAATGATAGTAAATGTAATAGAAAGGAGGCCATCAGAGATTCATGGGTGGGATTGGCCCTTGGGGTGGAATGGCCGCCAGTCAGGTGCTCCTTCCCATTGGCCCATCAATTTTCCCCCATTGGCCATCACCCTCAGAAAGATAGTACAACTAAAAAGGCATAGTTCGAGCGGACCAACAAACCAATTAACATCCTAAGTTCAGAATTCCGGAGTAGAGAAGATAGCCTTCAGAGGTGAAAATCTTCGTAAGATTTTGTTTTGACTTTAAATAGTTTTACAAGTTTAGAAGGCAATTTTTAGAAGTTTAAGAGCAGAAAAATGATCATATATACTGCTACCAATGAAAAGGTTACTGTTGATTTTTACGGATTTTATACTACTAACATGTATTTTTACTTTTACCAAAGAATTTTTTTCTCTAGACACACATTTCTACAATTTATATCTACTCTATAAGCAGATTACCTATTATTTTCTACAAGCACAAATGAGCCGACTATAGGGTATGCGGTCAGTCCCTCTCTTTCTGGGTCATCGGGGTCCCGCAGCGAGCCCCTCTCTGCGGTAGCACTGCCCCCATGGAATAACCGATTGCTCTAAACAGTAGATACACGTTAGCAAATGGGGGAACAATGGATAATTTGAATTCTTTAGATAAATAAATTAATGCTCACCTTGTTTCCACTAAAATTTGTCAGAAATTATACACGTGATTTCTATAATAGAATACCCGATAAAATTTTATTTGTAAAGATTTCTAGTGCTAGCACGCAATTGAAAAACTTGAAATACAATGTCTATATATTTCTTGCAATTTTTCTAATTAAACCGTATTAATAAATATACACGAATTTATTCCAGATGAGCGGCTTCCTCTCTCAACTACGGGCATTCGACGCCTACACAAAGCCGTTGGAGGATTTTCGAGTAAAAACATTAATTGGAGGAACCGGTAAGTCCCAAAATATACAAACATTATGGAGATCAATTTTAGTGACCCTAATCGCTACGATAGTCATTATCCTATTGGCAGTAAGCGAAACAGCATCATACCTCCGGACCGAAATCGCCGAACAATTATATGTTGACTCCACAACATCTGATCAACGTGTAGATGTCAATTTTGATATCACTTTCCATAAGCTTCCTTGTCCTTGTAAGTTTTTTTGCTAATATATTGAAACCTTTTTTAGTTATCACCATTGATGTAATGGATGTAAGCAGCGACAACCAAGATAATATTCAAGATGATATCTATAAAGTACGGGTTGATCAACATGGCAATAATATGACCGCTCCAAATAGGATTGGTAAGTTATAGATTTCTAGAGTTGCGGAAAACCTGCGTTTCAGAAGTTAATCAGAACAAAACGGGTGGGGTGGTTGAGGTTACGACGACAAAATGTGGAAGTTGTTATGGTGCATTACCGGATGGAAGGTATGGGAATAAGAAAAGTTATTAAATAATTAAATTTCAGTTGTTGTAATACTTGCGAGGAGGTTAAAGACGCGTATCAGATGCGGGGATGGCAAATGAATGTTGAAACTGTTGAACAGTGCAAGGTGGGGCTATAAACTAGCGTTTTTATGCTTAAAACTACGCACCTGCTATCGATTAATAAATAAGCCTAAAAGTTAAATAAAATATACAAATATATTCAAATTACCTTTCAGAATGATCCGTGGGTGAAGCTCATGACTGAATACAAAGATGAAGGCTGCCGTGTCTACGGAAAAGTTCAAGTTGCCAAGGTGGCAGGAAATTTCCATATGGCTCCTGGAGATCCTCATCGCACCATGCGCGCCCATGGTATGACAATTTCCTTAATCCATTAAGTTAATCCTTACTTTCAGTTCATGATCTACATTCCATGGATCCTACTCGCTTCGACTGTTCGCACACGATCCACCATCTCAGCTTTGGAACCCACTACCCCGGAAAATCCTACCCACTCGATGGAAAGCAATTTGCCACCGGAACTGGTTTGAGAAATCGTGCTTTTGGAATTGAACATCTTAGGAGGTGTGATGTATCAATATTATGTGAAGGTCGTCCCTACGCAGTATGTTAAACTTGATCATACTACCGATGAGAGCCATCAATTCTCGGTGACGACACATCCAAAGAAATTAGGTTTATAGGATTAGCATAGGCAAATCTTTGAGCACTTTTCAGGTCAAGGCGTCTCAGGATTGCCAGGAGTATTTGTCCAATATGAATTTAGCCCATTGATGGTACAATATACAGAAAGGAGACAGTACGTTATTTTCCATTGAATACAGAAACGAAAAGTATCAAATTTACAATATATTTTTAGGGCTCTATCTGATTGGCTGGTCTCGTTGTGCGCCATCGTTGGCGGTGTATTTACCGTAGCTTCGCTTATCGATTCATTTATCTATTCCACCCAACGTGTCATCGAAAAGAAAATGCAGATGAATAAGCTTGGCTAACATATTCTATTTTTTTTAAGAAATTACCTTATTATTTATTTTTCGTTTCACCTTGATACCTGCTATCCCAAAATTTGTCTAAGTCACTGATGATTACGATCCTTGCTATGACTATCATACAATTTTATCATGGGCTCTAGGTACTTAATATTTATATTGTGCCTTTCTTTATACTGCTTCCCTTTCCTTATTATGGGTCTCCGGGTCTTACCCTAGAATTTGCAATAGAAGTCATTAACAAAAACCCGTCCCAGCAAAACCATTGTTACCATCGGGTTCCTCGGCGTTTCTTCCTCATTTTCTGCAATCTGTGATATATATTCAAATGGGGGTTATGCATTGCGTTTTGTGATGTCTGGCGATAAATTTTTTTAATTAAAGTTGAACATCAATTAAAGTGACACTAAACACATTATAAACATTATAAACATACTAGTTCGTACCCGGTCAAAAACATACTTTTTATGTTCGTTCTTGCATATTAAGATATAGATATTAAAAATAATCTGGGAGTGAGGTCACATCACCGAAGTTTTTCTTCCCTCCTCCTAAATCATGATCCAGGGTGCGAAAAAAAACTGTCGGGGTTTTTCTCACATTATCCCCATCCCTTTCCTCGGCCCCAAATCAGTGGGATCGCCTCGTGAGAGGGTCTACGACCGCTAATTGATTGGATCTCTTTTCTGCCCGTTTTCGAACCAATTTTTTTTTTTTGTCAAAACATTATGATTTTCAGTATGTTGAAGCTTGTTTTGGTAGTGGCATTTATTGGTGGCTGTACGGCTTCTGTGGCGACGCTTAGGAGCCCGGTAGGGATAATCCCAATGTTTTGATTTTTTCATTAAATTTTAGGTGGGCGAGCCTGTGCTGCTGGATTTGGGAACACATGTCCGGAATTGGGGTCGAATGGTTGATGGCAAAAAGCAATATTTGGCTGCTTGCCCGGAGAATGACAACAGCGAGAAATGTAAATACTGGTCTAACGAGGTAACGTATTTTAATTCATGTTTACTAATTATTATTAAGGAAAAGAAGGTTGATACCACGACATCCGAGTCGAGGGTGTTTATGAATGGGACGCTAGTCATTTATCATTTTACGGAAAGCGATGCCGGAGCTTATTTTAGTCCTGATGAGAGGGAAAGAGTGGTTGAGGTATTTTCTTGTTTGATAAGCTTGTATAAATCCTAGATCGTGGATACCTTTAACGATCTGCCTCTATCGTTTTTCACAAAATAAATATTTAGGCCGGCGATGGATCATTCGGAGCTCTTCCCCGCACCCTCATCAATGTTCTCCACCTTGTCGTTGCTTGAATTAACAAAATCCGAACAAATTTATGGCGTCAATAAAAAATTAATCATGAAAAATGAGATAACGAGGCATCGGCAATGTCATTAGGGTATAGTCGTGGCAAAAAGGTCGCGGCGGGAGTCCCGTAGAATGTCATGAAGAATACGGAAAAAAGTACCTGACAATTTGGAGGGGGTTTGAAAGGGGGAAGAAAGAATTTTTGGAACAAGTGAACGGCCATTTGAGGGGGAGAATTAAGTACAAGGCCTTGAAAATGGGGATCGTGTGGCTTGGGTAATAAAATTACAATAGTTCCATGTAATTCATTAATTTTTGGTGGGTTTTTGTTTTTTCACAGATGCGTTCGTAATGCTCTGAGAAAAAAACACGTTAATTTAATTATGCCTTTACTACCCAGCTAATTTGACAAAAAGCCTATGCATAGTTGAACTCATCGGAGGCAATCATGATTCGTCGGGTGTCGCTATCCGCGCTGCGACAGTAGCGTCGCCGGGCATCAGTCACTTTGGCTGTGATTACCCATGCGTGACGCATCGCCTCGGCTGCTACACCCAACGCGGCCAATGAGAAGAAGCCAGCGCACCAGCACAGTGTCAGAGTTACTGTAAAATTAGAATTCATTTCTGAACGAATAATCGGAGCCTATAACCATCTCGATTTTTTAAAAACTTACAGTCACGTAGGTTAAGTGTAGTGTTGGTCAGATGTAAATATTCAGCAGCGAGACGTACATATTTGTAGACGGCCTCAAAATATTCCCCGGTAGGATTCCGGACGGCCAGGAATAATGCGTAGATGATGACCCCCCAAAGAAAGAATTCGACAGTCTAGAACCATTTAAATGCAAATGGCCGATACTCTTACCCTCATGACCACGTAAGGCACGCAGAGATACGGATTATGGCGGTTGAGTGCGCAATACATCATCAGAATCGAGATCATCGTCAAACACTCAAACGCTCCAAGTGCGACCAGGAAATTCTGTTGCGACCCGAGATGATCCGGAACTAAAATTGTGATTTAACAAGTACTTACTCTTGTTTGCGGTTTGCATCAAAATTCAGGCTGCACTTTATTTTTGATATCTCCCGAATTTAGCCATAGATTATAAGTAAATAGGTATGGTTTCTACGTGTACCTCATTAGTGCTCGCTCCACAAAACCGGACTTCTATGCACTCCAACCCCAAAAGAAGCCCCTTTTCAAGGGAGTCGCTCCCGGGAATCCCTGGCTTCGGATGGGATAAGGGATTAGCCACATGGCCCCCCACCCTTTGGCCCTCCTACCCTCTGGGACCCAAATGGCCATCCCTTCCTCCCCCTTCTGCTGTTGCCCCACCCTATATTGAACCTTTTCCCCATTCATTCATTAGTCCTCCACGCACACATACATGGATAGATAGTAGAGTAGAGAAAGAGAGAAACAGAGAAACAGACACGCACAACTCATCCCACCAGCAACAACAAGGATGGGGGTAATCTTCGGAGAGGGCCAATTTGTCTTTCGGGGGATCTCGGTTGGACCTGGGGGCTCTGGATGTCCTCGTTAGCAAATCCTAATTTGGGAGGGATCTATGGTAAATGTTCAACCAAGGTTGTATAGTCAAATGAGGTCTCTTAGAACTAATATAAATGTTCCACTGTCTTTCTTGTTTGTCTACTTTTCAGTTTTTAAGGAGGGTTAGGTTCTATACTTATTTAATGACGATAAATGTAACAATCATGCGTTGCGTAGGATTTTGTCTCCAAATTTTTTTCTGTTTCTCCGTAACTCGATCTAACCTTCGCTAGCTAGCACCTAGCCTCAGGGGATATCTCGTAAAACGACCTATCCCCTTCAAGGACGACCCCTAATCCATCCATCCTCAAGGGTCCTACATTAAGACATCCGGATGTGACAGGTCTTTGAATATTCATGACCTCACATTAAGGTGACGGACATTGGAGTTGGGGCTTTTTGATAGAAAGCGAATTTCGTATAAAATTTAGCCGTTCAATCCCCACTTTCGAAAGCTTGTCAAAGCCTAAAATTTTCTTCAAAAATCATTGCGGATGTCTCGAATCTAAGCGAACAGTGGTGGGACCGCGGAGGGGGGAAATAGAGGGGATGTTGGTTTTGTAGGTATTTCTCGAAGGACTGTTTGCACAAGTGCCCATCCGGTCCACGCCCCGGTCACACTACTGGATGGATGTGTGCAGGCCCACCTTTCTTCCCCCTCAAAACTTATTTCTTTGACCTACTTCGGCTAGCCTTTTATGGATAGTCCCCTAGACGTTATAACGTAATCTTTAATGGTATCAGCCATGTTATTTTCTAATTTTAAAGCTGCCTTTCTGGCCTTGTAAGCTTTTACGAATGGTTTACTCTAGCTGCTAGTGTAAATCGCCTATACTTGTAACTTTGTCGTTTTCAAACCCTCTTTTGAGGCGTCCTAAACATTTAAAATTCTATTTCCTAGATAATTTATTTTTATGTTTAACTTACCAATAATATAATACAGCGACCCGATAATGAAAACAACAAATACAGCACGAATTGCGAGTCCTGTCGCGAAAAGGCAGAGATAATTCTAAATTCCGAATAATTCCATTACTCAAATTTACATACCGAATGGCCGTTATCGTAGCTTTTGGTGGGGCTATTTCTGACGTGACCATTACTTCTCATCGGTGGGGCCGATGGATAGGCGCGAGGTTGTGTTGCGTAGCCGGAGTAGTCACCGTACTGAATTTGAATATATTGAATGTCTCGTAATTATTGATTGTGAAATTGTTTTTAATGGATATCTGTTTCTTCCATATAGTTAATTCTAATGGCTAAGACAGGGCTAACTGGCGGAAATATCTTCAAGGCATAAAATATTTTTGCTTTTCTAAAATTCATAAAAAACTCACATAATCCATCTCGCCGCGTCCATAGTCTCCCATGGTCGTTGTGTTTTCCCAGTGAGGCCCTCTGCGCGTACCACACAATTATAATGGCAGTTGGCCTGAAACTGGAAACTAGGACGGATGGATTGGCTTCGAAGGGGAGGAAGGGAAGCGAGGATGTCGTGCCAGCACGCGATTTATAACGCATCTAGCTGCGAAATGGAAATCGCCTTTCACCACAAGGGGGTATGGGGAGAGGAAATGGCACATTTCACGCTTCAGGCGTAGCCGGGAGCGTAACGAAATTTTGGAAGGGGGAATCAATGGGAGGGCTGTTAGAATGCTAAGTGCTTCAAAAATTTCAAGATGATAGTTAAGTACTCTTATTTAATTTAAATCTTGAGGTATAAGTCCGGTTTGGGAGTCTAAAGCAAATTCACCCCAGAAATTTGGCTACGATGACACGACTTTAGTAACGCAGCTGGGCGAGCTTGACTTTTCCCTTTTGCTTGCGATACCCAAGGAAAAACAAGGCGGCAAAGAGCAGCCGGACCTTTTTGCAAAAGCCCAGCTGTCCGCACTTTCGTTTTACGCCCGTGTGGTGACGATACGACCTTGTCGTGGGCAATTTTCGCGATTAAAATTGCGCGAATGGTGGATTTGTAAAGCGCTTCGAGACGGGTTGGGTCAAAGAGGACACTTGGTAGAAGGGCCACTATTCTCAAGGGGGATTGACGGGGTCATAAAAAGGTGCCCTCTGGGGTTGGAGGGGAATATATTCACCATATGTTGTTGGGTGAGGGTGGAGTGGAGGGTGGAGCTGAGAAGTAATGTTCTTTCTTTTGTATAATCTTTGGAGTATAGAGGATAGGATAGCAAGGCCAAAGGAGCGTTTAGCATCAAGTCAGGTGTTTGAAAAGCTAAACAAAGAATGCTTAATGCGGTGTAGATTTGGCAGCTGGCCGATTGTGTCGAGGTCGAGATAGGAATCTTAAACCTCGGACGACTCTTTCGCCCCCCAAAATGGAAAGGAGGGATCAGGGTGAGATGGATGTGTGAGCGTCCCTCTAGATTGGAAACAATGATGCCAAAGGGGGTGAGCAGGGGGGAAGAGGGTGGAGGTTGTGGGAGGTTTTTTTTCAAGGCGACTTTAGGAACGGATGTTTCGGGGCTTTAGAATGAGTCATAGAAGGGCTGGACGGCTATGCAGAATCAATGGATACCCGTATAAACCCAATCTAAATATATCTAATGATCCTAGTAGACTTTGATTGTGAAATTTAAGTCCATCTGTCAGAATAGGATCTAAGTAAATTCGAATAAAATATATAGAAATATCGAAATAATTTTTTGTTTTGGATCAAACAGGTCAAATAACGTTTGTTTCCTTTACAGGCCCCGTAGAACACACATTTCAAGGATGATAAACGTCCATAACTATCATTCAAAGGCCACCCGACAAAATAGGACTGAATTTGCTGAAGACAGTAGACTTTTTTTGTTTTATGTCAAACAGGTCAAATAAAGTTTGTTTTCCTTACGGCCCGTAGAACCAACATTTAAAGGACGAAGCTACAATAAATTGCTACAACCCTAATAGTGTTCAAAGGCTACCCCCACTACCCAAAAGCCCCGTGGGTGCCTCAAAGCTTGACGGGGTGGGTTGTGGTTGGGTGGTCGCGGATGCGGGAGTAGTACCTTCAGCTGGCCATCTCCACACCCCTTCCCATTTGGGTCCCGTAGGGAACGGGGAACGGGTGGAGGATGAGGTGGACAAAGAGAGACAACGAGAGAGACAGATAGATAGAGGGCATAGAACTAAGGGGGGCAGAAAGGCATTGGGGTGCCTTGCTCTCGGATCTAATAGGGGGGAAAGGGTGGGATCGATACCCTGGTACCCCAGAGGGCATAGACAAACCCCCCTAATCGGCACACACATACACCAATTCATGTCATAGACAATGGATTGGGGGAGAGGGGAGGGGATGGAAATTAATGGCGGTTTGACGGGTAATCAATGGAGTAGAGGATTAATTTCCCGTTAATCGATGTGCACCATTGGCAAGAAAATGTCGGGATAGTGTTAGAGATCTGTAAAATTTAAGTAGCAGAAATTCAGGTAATTTAAGTATTTAAATCTAAATGCCTATCTAAATGCGTAGTAATGTGAATTGTATATTTCCCTAAACGCCGGTAATATTCTGGCGAAATTCAAAACAGTTTTTATTACTCTAATAAGTAGTTTAATCAGTCTTTGTTGCCTTTCTAACTTCTTTTTGAAATGTAGACTAGATAAGCTTTGAATGCCTTACCGTATGCCTTTGACGTAGTACAGGTATAATTAAGTCAGGGCTCTTTTTATGACAAACTTTCACCTTATATCAACCATACCATGAGCTGGCATACCCTAATTCAACCCTAAAAAACGCTTGCCCTTCTCCCCTTGTGAATCGGCCGATCTGGAATTCATAAAGAACCGCAGCGACTAACGACGAAAAAACTAGCCTCGAAACCCGAAACCCCGGCTGTTTTTGTGCAAATTGTTGGAATTCGAACAGCCATACTACACTTCACTCTGATCTTTGGACGAAGTATAGCATGAATTAGAATTCCCTGCACCATCGCATATTTTTGAAGGCCCAAAACTTTTTCAAAAACAATTCCCCGATCGAATTACAAATATATGACGAGAGCAAAGCGTGACGGCTACGAATCACCCAAACTGAAAGACTCCTCGTGGCACTGCCCTCGTTTTTGGACAGTGTAATTGGGCAAATCGTTAAGCTGAGCTGACGATCCCCCCCCCCCTTCTCTTTTTCCATCGTGGCCTGAGTCATTCGAGCTTTTGGTTCGAACCAGCTGTTCGCTTTCGGGTGAACAAAACCTTTGGAACGTTGGTATAGTTTGATCGGTTGCCCCGAGGTTGAGCTATCGCTATACAGATCTCTATGTAAAATTCGAAAAATTGCTCCTGGTCTCATCAAAACCATTAATTTTGGTGTTATCTACTGGAGATGGAGATTTTTCAACTAGATTAGCCGTGTCCTCATTACGTTCGGACAGTTTTCTTTAAAAATAAAAAATTGGGATAGCGCTGCATGTTTTTACTTGTTTGGAAGCACTTAAAAGCAGCGTCTCAAGCTATTTTCTTTATACCTTGATTTGAATGGCATAAATATATAATAACGACACTATTTCGTAAACTTTGCATCAGGTTTTGACCGTTTTGGTATTTACAGGATCTTCCCGGAATTAGTTCATTAATTTCAATTTTTCAAACGGCTTGGTTTCTTTCAATTCTTTTTTTAATTAGCAAAAAGTTCAAATCTCTTTCTTATAATATCTTATTGAACCATAAATTGCGATGACTACAAATCTTGGGGCTACAATGCATGACATTAGCTACAATTTTTAAATCTCGAATTCAATACTTCAGATTTAAGTTACTGTCTAGATTTTGAATCTCGACTTTTGGATATGTTGGGACCCGGGACAAAGGGCTTTCTTTGAGCGCTATGCGACATGATGCGTGGTTGGTAGTGCCGCGTAGGCGTTCGTCCCTCCCACCCCCGAAGTGCCCATATCCCCCCGAACTCGCAATTGCGACCTTGATATGCCATCTACACCCCAGATTTGGTGCCCGATCCCATGCCCCCAAAGTTCGGGCGGTTTGGTGGGAGACGCGAGCGGATGCGTCGCGGCACTTGTTGAAGTGAGTGTCCAGTGTGGTTGGTGTCGACAAGGGCGAGCCCCGTTTCCGGCCCCCTCTTTCCCCTTGCTCAGCATATCCCATCAGCCAAAACGTACCCCGAGGGCACCTTTTTGGGTCATACCCTTTCGGCCCCGTTTTTCTCTCAGTCTCTTGAAGCTCCCCTACTACCCTTTTGCAACCATTAGCAACCCGATTTCCTCCGCCAAAGTGACTTTGCGCCCGCAAACTTGTCACCCTGGCCCCTAATCACTTTGTTTTTCTCGTGAAATTTTGGCTGCCGGCTTTAGTCGCAATGGGGTCGAGATGTTTGGTTAATTTTGGAAATGAGAGAAATACAGTATTTAAAATACCCCACTTTCTTTAAATTTTCCTTGCTAAATTTTGTGCTGGTTATGGTTTTCTCTAAAAATACTCTAGTTTCAGTGCACCCCTTGCAACATTTTTGTTTGTTTTCTTTGAGATTTTGCAACTTTATTCTATCCGCACATTTTTTCGGGCGCTTTAACGCAATTTAAATTATTCCTACTTTTTTATTCCCAACGGTATGCCAATATGCACAATTCTTATTGGGGATTCGTTTAGGGTCGCTGTCAATTTGAATTAGCTGGAGATGTTTGGCCAATTTAGGAAAATAAAGGAATTACTCCAGGGTAGTGTTTTGAAAATATGAGTGCTGTACTTACATTCTATAGTTCTTAAATGTTGACCATATTCTGATTTGCTACACAAATACGGTAGTTTCAGTGCCTTTCGCTCTTGAATCAATTTTTTAAAGGATTCTTTGTTTTTCCTTTGCATATTTTGTGGCAGTATATATTCGGCGTCTCTAAAGAATTTACCATCGCGAATTCCAATTTTCCTATCCAAAATTATATCAAATACTGGTTGAAATCCCCTTTTCCAAACGCATCTTCCAAACTCTCTTCTTGTCCCTCAATTTTTTTTCGTTTTCCGCCTCTCCCTTGGAATCCATTTTCCGCACGGATGCCTTCGGTGCGTTTCTATTCGCGCCCTGCCGGCAAAATGGAAGGGGTAGAGCCGAACGCATTCGCTGTGTCCACCACAAATTCCGCTCAGGAAGAAGGGACACCACACAATCCTTATTAGGAATTCGTGTGTGGTGGGGATTGCCGTTTGGGGGGAATAGAAAGAAGAGACCCTGTGGCCGATACCAATTTCGACCTCTTCGCTCTGTCGCCACCCACATCCCGATGGCCTGCTCTGGTTTGGAACCCCCCAATTTGGCAACAGACAATTGGCATTCTGGAGGGCATGTCCCCGCTGCGGGTCTATTCTCAACAATATAATGCCATCAAGGTCAAAACACTAATTTGTTTGTGAATGGCGGGGGGTGGGTCATGTCTTTCTGCTTAAAACTTATATTTTTCTGCTGCCCTGCTTATACATTTTATCTTACTCTCTATTTTTAAGTCTGTTCAACTAAGCTAAGTATGTTAACTCCTTTATTAGGATTGACTTAAGGTGTGCTGGCTTAACACCTTAACCGTTATTTTCTTCCTAAGATTTTCAGAAACTGCATCGAAAACTCTCTTTCTTGCTGAGATTTTCTATTAATCATTTTAAGTACCTACACCGGCAGGTGATCTTGAGGAGCAACTTTTACCTTTTGAATGTTTAAAAATCCTTTAATCGCAACGCATCAAAAATCAACAATGATTATTCCAAGTTTTGCTATCCAACTCGGTGGTTTCAAAAAATAAAGATTGTAATACAACTTCAAACCCCTCCCAATCGCAAATTTACGTCACTTTTCCGCTTCACATTCCTCTAACCTCATCAAAACTCCCCTAATTCCCCCCTATATCATTCCCACAAACGCCCCCATAATAAACAGATTCCACCCAAATGCCTCTGTGCGGCAGGGCGGATTAAATGTCTGCATGTTAAGCTGCTTCCCCCCCTCGGATTTCCCCCCAATTTTAATGATAAAATCCGCATTCCCCGAATTTCCCGCATACCACCGCTTGCACCAAAACCCCCCTCTTCACGCTCGTAATTCTCATTTTTCTGGTGACTCGTGGGCGCCGGCTACGAGACTCCCACGTTTTTGTATGGCCAGACCGACCGTGTATGAGAGCCGCCGAAAAATTACCGGAAACACACAAAAACCGCTCACACGGGCTTGCCATGTTTTTGAGGCAAAGAATAAATCACGCACCCTTTTTGGCGGGTCTCCCCTGCATTTCTTTTCCGATTTGTCCCGTGATTCCGAGGGGTGCTTGATTTTTATGGCATGAGAATACTGTATGAGCTTTTTGGTGATCGCGCATAGCCTTTCAGTGTAAATGTAGTTGTTTTCCGGGGGAGGGAAGTATTTTTGGTGGCTTTGCCGCGGGAATGGAAATGGAGGGGCTCTTTTCCTTTTGCTTGCCGCAAGAACAGGTGAATGTTGATAAATTTTTCAGCCCGATTTTTGGGGTGTAGCCAACCGGATTTCAATGCATCACGTTTTGGGTAAAGCCACGGGCCCAGCTAGGTCTGATCGTTGGCTTGTTTACCGAATGCTTAATGAGTATGCGGATAAAAAGGCGGTGGCGTCGGTTTCCCCCTCCTTTACTCCGGCCAGACTGAAATGGGAGCCGGAATTTCCGGTTACTCTGTTACAGCTTCTTCTAAGGTGACAGCTTCTCTTTAAAAGTAGCCCCTCTAAAAGCTTTTACTGACCCTAATTAATAGCTGGACATAAATCCTTAAAAATTGCCGAGCGGTTGGGTGTGTGTCGCAAAGACCAGTAGCTTCTCCTCCCCTCACCAACCCCTAAATTTCATTAACCCCCAACCCCACACGCGTCGCTAGCTGCCCCCCACCGCCATAGACAAATTTATTCGGAGCACCAGATGGCTGGCTTCCCCCTCTTCCTCGTTCTCCTCCTCCATCTCCTTCTCATGGGGGCCATTTGAGTCCCAAACGATGGTTCCTTTTGCAATTCAAAGTTCCCGCTTCGGGTGGGGGTAGTCTTCAGCTAGCCGCCAACAATCCACCTACTCCACCCACTATCGCGCATTCCAATGAGGTGTATTTTGTTGGCATTAGCTAGTGGACGACCGAATTTGGCACATTTTCCCGGGAATTTTTAGCGAAAATGGTTGGCGCCGGAAGCGTAAAATTTGAGCTTCCCGCTTTCTTGTAGAATTAGGTGTGGACTTTTGACTGCGTTAGTAAAGTCTAATTGCCCATTTTATCGTGTAAAATATTGGAAATCAACATCGGCAGTTCATTTTGTCGAAAACTTCTCGAAAATAAAAAGGCCATAATCCAAATCAGCCCTAATAGCCATCAATCCCAAAGTTTTTTTTTTATGAAAATGAACACCATCACCCCACCACCACCCCTAACTACCCAGAAAAAAGGCGCCGACGACCCGGTTGAAGGAAGGATGGACAAAATAGGACGTCGAATCGGATTCCACCCACTTGATTGGCCCCCATTCGGCCCTAGTTAGCCGGCCTCCTCCTCCTCCTCTCCTCCTCCATGGCCATGAAACGATCATAAATACTCTAAAAAGATTTAATTCAGCATTTTCAAAGGTCATCCCACATCCATATCTTCTCGAAACTAGGGTGACCAAAGGCCCACTTCCGGAGGGCGGGCCAAATTCCACCGTTGCAGAAGAGAAGCCTCCCTTTCCTTTCCCTTCAGCCAAACCCTCCATTCCACTACACTCCTCCTACTCCTCCTCTTCCATTTTTCCTACCCTTTTTCTTCCAACGTCCACCTCTTCTGCCTCTGCTAACCCCGCCCTTCTGCCCTCCACTTTTTCGATCTAATTAAACGGCGCGTGGGAGCATATAAAGCGGGGATTTCGCCTAGCAGCCCGCCAGGCGGCCTGTGGCCCTCTCACAAACCCCGTTTGGCTCCGTTAGGCTTCGTTAACTAGCAATTAATGTAGGTGCTGGCACTGCCAATCTTCATTATGAGGCGATGGAGGGTGGGTGTCCAAATAAAATAATTAAATTTTCGAGAATTTGAAGGTCGGTTTTCGGTTGACGACTTTTTGGTTTTTGATTTAAGGTTTTCTGGAACCTGATTCCAATCACTATTTAGTTTAGAGAAACCAAAGTGTGTACTTGGTAGGTACAAATGACGCATTGGTATAGAAAGTTCGGAAGTGTTGATTAGGGCGACGGCGGCGGGCTTTATAGCCTTTTTTCGACATTTAGCATTCTTTTTGGCCGAATTTTTAGTTGCTTGGGTTAAGTTTTAAAGTATTTTAACGGCATTTTATCGGATAGTTTTTAGAGGAATTTTCAAAGTATTTATTCGTTTATTTTTCTATTTAATTTGGATTTAATAGTTTTCTAGTTAATTGTACTTTCTACGCTTTACACGAGACCCCATTTGCCAAACTACTCAAAAGTGCGAATGTTTCCGTTTGAAGATGGGATACCCCGTGCGCCCATTCGCGAAAAAGCGGAAAAAGATGGCCCGGGCCTGGTTGCCCTCCATTTGTTCGATCCGTTATCTCAGCTGGCCGATCGGTCGTTCCGTCTGCCTTTCCATCCTTCCATTCCTTCACAGCTTTTTCGCATCTTCTCCTCTCGCGAATCGTGTATTATTTTGTTTTCCAGCCCACCTCAAATTGAATCTAATAAATCTCAACGTTCTAAAATCCAGAATCATATATGCCTTTTTCAGTTTTCCGCCATCATGTTGATGTGAGACCCCCCTAAAAATAACGCGGCAACACTAAAATGGCTGATGACGACCGGCGAAATAACACGGGCACCAGGCAATTGGCCCAATCTTGTATAATAACCCCTCCCTAGCATTTGCAGGGTATTCAAGAAGACCTCGCCAAACGGCAAGATCACCACCTACCTCGGCAAACGGGACTTTATCGACAGAGGAGATTATGTCGACCTTATCGGTGAGTCATTGGCTCGAACCTTGCACCTAATAAAGAAAGGAGGAGGGGCATCTATATAGGCAAGAGACAAGCTTATCAATGTTTTTAAGAGATTACGGATTATTGGGTGGTGCCGTGTGACCTTTGGCGATTTAGTTAGCGGGGCATTAAACGGGGGTAGTTGGGGAGGTGTTAAAAAGGCGAGAGGAGCAATTTTCGGGTTTTGGATGGATGGGGAGGTTTTTGTTGAGGAATTGTTGGATGGGAAAGTAAGAAAATGCAGAAATTGATATAACAAAAATGATAATGGGTTTGAAAAACCCGCTGTGAAACTGTCAACATTTAGCAGCCTTAAAAAAGCGGTAGAAAGTCTACGAAGTATTTTTCCGAATTCCGCTATATCCTGAACACCGCTTTTCAGATGGAATGGTCCTCATTGATGACGCCTACGTCAAAGAAGGCAAAACGGTGACAGCCCATCTTTTGGCCGCATTCCGATATGGCCGCGAAGACCTCGATGTGCTCGGTCTCACCTTCCGAAAAGATCTCATCAATCAACACGTCCATGTATGTGCATAAACCACCGCTCCGTACGGCTTATTTTCATAGGTATTCCCACCCGATGAGACCCAACCTCGGCGCCCATTGACAAGGCTCCAAGAACGACTCCGGAAAAAGCTCGGCCCAAATGCGTACCCATTTTGGTTCGAAATTGCGCCGAGGAGTGCGAGCAGTGTTACATTACAAGTAAGAATTAGCTTTGTACACAAATTACCTTCGCTTTGCCGTGTTAACTCCGAATTTCCTGAAAATGAACCTAAGATCTTGTAGCACGAAGTGATTGTTGGAGTTTGGGTGAATTTTTGGCTTCTGATAACAACGCATTAACACAACAGCTATTGGGAAATTGCTTTTGGGATTTACAACTTTGGAAGATACCAAAACTAACGGAACTTGTTTTTCAGCCTGCTCCCGGTGATACAGGAAAACCATGTGGTGTCGACTATGAGCTGAAAACAATCGTCTCCTCTAGTGCAACCAATGGTTCTGAAGGAGAAAAGCCGAAAAAGCAGTAAGCTAATGAATAGACCCAGGGGCCCATAATGAAATGCTTTAGCAATTCGGTTCGGTTGGCCATCCGGAAACTGACTTATGCTCCAAGGGAACCGCGTCCCCAACCAACAAAAGACGTCTCAAAGGAATTTATGATGAGCCCCGGGCTTCTCCATATGGAGTGCTCACTCGACAAGGAGGTCAGGGAATAATGCAGATATTGGTAGACATCATTTTTAGATGTATTATCATGGGGATACGATAGCGGTCAATGTACACCTGCAAAACAACAGTAATAAGACTGTTAAAAAGATTAAGGTAAATTTTTAGATGGTTTTCTAAAGATACTAGAAGAATCGAAAACTCTGTACCTTTATATACCATGTTTTTAGGTCAGCGTCGTGCAAGTTGCTGACATTTGCCTCTTCACCACCGCTTCTTACAATTGCGAGGTGGCCCGCGTCGAAAATTGGTAACACTTTCCCCGTAATTTGATTAAACCCGGGCCCAGAAACATAGTGAACTTATTTTTGGCCAAAAAGGATTACTCGCAACATAAAACCAATCGCTAGAATGGAATTATTTCAGTGAGGGTTTCCCCGTCGGTCCGGGTGCCACGATTTCGAAGGTGCTTGGGTTGACGCCGTTGCTCAGCAACAATAAGGTAAAAATAAAACTAAGTTCAAGCATATTTGTTGTTTTTAAGGACAAACGGGGCTTAGCCCTTGATGGCCAATTGAAGCATGAAGATACGAATCTGGCGTCCTCAACAATGTAAGTCAGCCATAGTCTGCTCAAAATTGGCTTTTAGTTATGATGAGGATTCCAAAACCCCAAAGGAAAACCTGGGAATCATCGTGCAATATAAAGTTCGAGTTCGAGCGTTGATTCAAGGTATTTGGCAGGAGTTTGGTCTTTTAGCTCTTTAAAATTAGGACCGCTTGGCGGTGAGCTGATGGCGGAACTTCCATTTACATTGACACATGCCAAGCCACCAGAGACCCCGGAGCGGAAGGTGAGATTGGAGCCTGGATTTCTTGGAAATTGAGGAAATTATAGGATCGTCCCTCAATTGTGAGTGTGAGTAATGACGTTGCGGATATTGATCTCATTCAACTTGATGATAAGTGAGTTAAACAATGATACCTAGCACATTATTTTTATATTATAACCTTGAATCACCACTATCAACATTTTTCTAGAACCGAGGAACAACTCTTGGATGATGATGATCTTATCTTCGAAGATTTTGCGCGACTCCGGCTCCAAGCTGCTGACTCCCAAGAGGATCCGCTCAAATAAGGCCTCCAAGCACCCATAGAACCCCCATATATTCAAATTTGCCCTTTAATTCAAAAATGTCACAACATGAACAGCTTCCTGAAAAATCATCCAACGTAACCCCCCTAGCTTTGCTGTAAGTACATCACTCCCCCCCCTCCCCAGCCTAGCAAAAGTATTCCAATCTCCTTTCCTCCCCTTCCCTTTATGTTTTTCGAAAAATGTGGGTTTAATAGAAATTTTTATTTGAGTTGGTATCTCATACGAAATCGGGCCCCGCGGCTTTTCTTTTGGCTTGGTCCAAGCTTCTCTCATCTGCGCGTGAGTTGGCCCGGGTTTTTTTAAATTTTGGAAATGATATCAGGATCATAATTGGGTTTTATACTATTTCCTGATTTCATTTTCGACCTTATGATTTTATCACATGCTCTTGATTCTTCATTAATTATATAGCCCTGATACAGCACGGTCCATTGGTCCTTTACATGCTCACCGCGCACACTGACTTTCAGCACCTTCCCGCCCGTATATGTAAATTTTTTTTGGGGTGTTTGGGACTTAGAGGAGTCTTCAAATAACTATAATTCATATCGAAACCCCCAACGATTCCTTGAAGTCCAAAATCCCTCCCCATACCATCGAGCTTCAGCCCCCCCGACCCCGCTTCTACAAATGTTTTTGTTAACATTCCGCCACCCTTTCAATTGAACACAGATCCATTTTTATCCTCCACCTTTATTGTGCATATCTAAATAAAGTTTTATACTATGACATTGTTAGAAAACCCTCTAGAACTTATAATCACATATGAGACAACGGTTTTAATGGTGCTTTCCCAATATCGGCGGGGGTTTCTTTAAGATCTGATTTTCTTAATATAAATTATCTAAATTCGTCAGCGTTTTCCCCACTGCTAGACGTAAACCTTATACAAATTTAAATTAGAAATATATAAAAATAACGGTTTTGAACATAATTTGTAAATTGATCTAAATTTTCTAAAAAAGTTTACAATTGGTTTAAATATATTCGGCATATTGCTTTTATAGAAAAATCAGCTCCTCCCAATCTTACAAAAGCGTTTTTAAAGTGTTTGTCCTTGTTTTTAAACATTTCGATGCTTTTCTTTTCAATATGTACCTTAATTCGTACAAAATTTATTGATCTCTTCGTTGGAACGTACTGCCATGACCGAATACAAATAGGAAACAGGGTAAAATCGCAAAAAAAAAACGAATAAAATAATAACTCAATCGGGGGGCTGGGGGGGAGTGGATGACACGATTTGCTGAAGCCTTCAGTGGGGGAATGGAATTGAAAGAATTTTCGGCAATTTGCGCGGCTTAGGCTATTCCGGAAGAGAAGGGAAAGAGACTCACTTTAAGGGGGTCAAACACTTGGAGATTAACGCGTCCAGGAAGATTCGCGAGTCATGGAAATCGTGCAAGTACAACGCCGGAAAAGAACAAATTAAAATGGGGCTAGCATTTTTCAAAAAATGCCGACAGTTTTCAAAGTTATTGGTTTCCGAATGGGTGTATTATTCAATGCTACACAAATATTCATCGGGCTCCTATAAACTCAGGGGGGAACCAAGAATTGTTCTTTTTCAAGGGGGATGATCACACTTAAAAGGGTAATTGGTAAAAGTAGTAGAAATAATAGAATAGGTAGAATAGAATGCAATTTGAAAATGGGAACTAGATTCATTGATGACTACGCGAATCATCACCGCTAGACGATAGCAAGAGAGAGGAAAACACAATGGAAAATTAAAAATTTCTTGGCACGTATAAAACAACGGGGAGATAGGGTGGAAACAAATTTTTTTGGTTAAAAATTCTAGGGGTTTGGAAAGGAGTCTCGTGACACGTTGGGAAACGCTTGGAAAAACGCTTTAGCTAACGGCGGCTGGCACCCGATGGTCGGCACTATTTCGAGAACCATTTTGAACACAGTTCATTTTGGGGGGGGGGGGGAAGGGTACGGTAGAAAATGGGGTACGGTAGCTCACAGGTCGGTGCGGGAAAGTAGACTAAATTACGGGTAAAGCACTCGGGACAACAATGGAATGGGGGTGGTATGAAAGTTTTTGGAAAAGCCGGGGATTGAATCATCGTTTTGAAATTATTAGTTTCAATTCGAAAATGACAATTCATAACCCCACCAATTAGAATCTAAAGTTCAGGGGGATCGCTCGCAGATCACATTGGGGCTATAGGTCTGTCTTGCCCTACGACGTTCGTGCCGGGACCCGTCTGCTGGAGCTTGATTTGTGCGTGTTAGCTTGGTAAAAATCGGAATTTGTAAAAGGGTACGGTATTCGAGACTGGGGACACCGAATAGGGTAGAGTACAAATTAAAACGGGGGGATCGCAGGGCGACCCGTTGGGGAAGGGAGGATGCTGTTTTTAACGGTATTTTAAGGGGAGATTTTATGTTCTAAATTGAGAAATTGGGGAGAATTTGATGGCGTCTTCTACAGCACCTCGGACGAGATCAATCCAGGGCCCGATGGATTGGTGATGAACCTCTTAGAAACGTGGAGGGATGCCGCCTGCCTGGCCATTGACTAAAAAGATTCGGTTGAAAATAATAGTTTATATACTTCTATTTTCTCAAATTTGCAAATAACTTTTTATCCCGTTTTTTATCATTTGATGGTCGTGTATTATAGAAACTTTTTAAATTTTTGATTATCTCATTACCCTATTTGCTTCACGCAAAAAAATTGTAATTTAGCAATTAAACATCATTTAATATATTTTTGCTGATATAGAATTCTTAAAAATTCAGGAAAATCGGTTCTTTTATAAGATTTCTTGATGGAACTACATCAATGGAATTTCTATAACTTATTTGTCGAGACCAATGCTAAAATCTTCTGAACGTTTTGCCCTCCAGATACCTTGAACCCCAAAAAACACCCGCACATTCAAATCCCACATTTAAAAACCCATCTACGTTGCTTGCCCCCAGTTTAGCCATGCACATGTTGGGTTTGCGGTGAAGGTCGGCAAAACCGTCAATTCTAACGCCTCTAGCAGCAGTCTTTCCAGGGGGGAGGAAAGCCGAGTTGAGTGATAAGCGTTTTTGGCCGGAAAATTAGCCCGCGGTTTCCGCGGCGGCGGCGGCGGTGGCGGCAAATATATAGCAGCCCGTTTTGCTAGCAGCCAACCCAGGCACCAGGAATTAGTGATGAACGCGTAGGGGGTTTTTTTGTCGGAGGTGGAGATGTTGGTTATCGAGTTTTTGCAAAATTTACCCTTGGCGCTAAATACAATGTTTTATAGACTTAGAAACACTGGTAGTTCTCTTTTTTTAAAGGGAAATCAAGATGTAACTGTGGATTTGGCATCCTATTGTTTTTAAACTATTCTATTGTTTATCTATCTGTTAGGATTTAAGTTCAAGAGCCGAGGTCGTGCTCATATTTAATTTATTTTTCATATTCGTCGCCATGCCTTGTCGATCCCTTCAAAATCTGGTGTTTGCTGGTCTTCCTAATACCCTAAGACCCGTTAAAAGGGTAGCCGAAGGTTATTTCCACTTTTTTCGATAACCAACATAACCCCCACCACCCTTCTAGAAGATATCAAAGCGTTTAAGCGACTTACAGTTAACGGTAGGCACATATCCGGGAATGCCGGGTAGCACGGGCATGTATCCGGAATATTGTTGACCCTGCGCTCCGTTTTGTCCGGTCTGTTGGAAGAGCATGGCACCAGCTGCTGTCTGTCCGGCTCCTCCGGCTTTGTCGATGGCGGCCCTCTTCACCGGAACACCAGCCTTCAATTTAGCAGCACACTTCCCAGCACTCTGCTATTCCCCAAGCCCGGAATATTGTATGCTATACCGTAACCCCTGGCCCCCGCTTGCCGGCCACGTGCTAATTGGTGGGAAGTCTAATGTTGCTCTGCTCAATCTGATTTTATTTTCCAAAGTTGAAAAAATATGTAATTTTAGCGCCATTAGACTTCCTACATAGCAGCAAATCCGATTTTTCTAAGCGCTATCATTTATACCTTATTTCTTTTGTGTTTTTTTTTACATAAGGGCCCTAGATACCCCGGGATAATAACGGGCCAGCAAAGAAAAACAAAAATAAGAAACCCGAAATCAATAATCATCTACGACCATGGATGTACAGGTAGCCCGGGAAAGAAAATAAGTAAAAGATTCGCAAAACTGCTCCCAAAAAGGTGAAATAAAATTCCCCGTAGAAAAGAACGTAAAAATGGCATTCAATATTAAATCGTGAACGCTTCGCGGGGTGTGGAGTGGCGTGAAGAATTTGCATTAATGTTAAAAATGCTTTTGCGCGCAAGCAGCGGTTCTTGAATTCAGCAATAATTCGATTCAAATGCAAGGGTTTCAGGCAATACTTCAAGCGCAGATTATTTTAGCAACTAGCTTTAACAGAACCTGTACATCCGAAGCCAAATGCCATGCCCTAGATATGGAGATAACTATTTGACAGAACTGGCTTCAGCCTTAAATAATGAAAAAGCTATTTCTTGGGTGTTTTTGCTTCGAACAGCGTTGGGATGCATATTTGGAGCCCCATCGGAGCCAAAAGCTAGCTTTTTACTAATATTGGGAAGGAATTTTACAATTAGCTAGAGTATATCGGGTTGGAGAGAGCAGCCACTAAACGCCAAAAGACGGGGGGAGTGTCGACTTTTCAAAGGTATGATAGCGCCATGCGTTTTAACATTTAGACAGGACCAGGAAGACGCGGTACGGGACTTTTGTTTGGTTTTGGTTTGCAAGTCATATGAGAAACTGGTCATGCTCCATGTAGAAAAACCACACTAATCCGTCTTAGCTTTTTCGAGCCCGTTGAAACAAAAAAAAATTTGAGAAAACTGGTTAGGCAGGGGGTAGAGTCCATTCCGCTGTTTTAGAATTAGGGGGATGTGCGGTACGTAACGTAAAGAAGGCCATTTCGTAAATTGGGGGACGACCGAAAGCCGTACGCAAAATGGCACGCATGTGTGGGCCCGATTCTCGAAAGCCAAAAATCCAATTTAAATAGCCGTGCTTTTTGGGACAATACTTTTGCGTTGACTACACGATGTGCGCGTGCTCCATTCAAGTTTCTGGAGTCGCTAAAAAAAGAAAAGCGGCAACTTTGGCATAGCAAGGGGGAAGGGGAGAAGTTTTTTTTGCTGCGGAAGGGACCACACACGCGGGCGGCATTTGCATGGCTTATTTTGATAAAGTGTTGATTGGCTGGTTGGCGACGGGCCTTTTGCAATTTTCAATCAGTTATTCATCCGTAATTTTTAACTAAGGCCTAGATGAGGAAGCCAATGTTTCAAAGAACATATCAAAAAACTAAAAGCAAAACCGGCTACTTCCCTAATTCAAATCAGCAACAAAAAACAGACAGCCCCCTACGCCAACCAACCAGTCCAACACCCTCCATTACAACCACTAATGTATAAAAAAGTAATGGGGGCCGGGGGTGGAATTTCCCACTTTATGCGCTCTCTCTGTCCCTCTCTCGCTCAGCAAAAAAGGTACCGATTGGAGGTTGAGCTGGAGGGCGGCAGTTGTAGCATCAACCGACGGCTCATCATCCAGCGGCCGTTTTCGAGACCCGGATGCCAATAGCGCTTGCTGCTGAGCAACAGCCAGCGCTTGCTGTTGTTGCTGTTGTTGTAGGAGAACAGCAATGGCTAGTGCATTCTGCTGATGCTGTTGTTGTTGCTGATGCTGCTGTAGCTGCTGTTGACCAGCGGTGGGCTGGAGTTGCTGTAAACAGAGAAGCCATGCACGGACACACGATGAACTCCTGGACTCGCACCTCAAGCTCGGCGGAAGCGCTGCCATCATGGTATACGGTAGAAAACAAAAATGGAGGCGCTTTGTTTTCTACCGTATACCATAATGTGTGTGCGAACGGGGGGTACTTTTAAAGGGGCGGAGTAGAGGTATGAAAAATAAAATGAAAGCAAAGCCCCGAAAAGTTGGATTTTTGGAAGGGCTAAGGGGGGTAGAAGCGTGCGGTTATCCCCCGGAAAGGATTTTGAAGTTTGGCCGTTTGGATTTGGAAATTGTTCTGTAAGGACACTAACAGACGAACGGTGGCCAGATTTCAGGTATATAAAAACACTCTTGCACGATGAGGACAACTGTTAGCGGAACTGAGGAATATGGCTGAGCAGCTTGGGGTAGAGGCTATACATGTCTAACCGGGGGGCTGTGTGGACTTTTAATTTTTGGTGGGGGCGGGAGGGGTGAAATCGAATGATACCTGTTGGTAGGGGTCGAGGAGTTGAGGGTAGACGAGCTGTTGATAGTATGGATAGGCGAGGGGCATCATGTTGGCTGTGGTCAGGCCTTGGGTGGCTTGTTGTTGGGCCGCCTGCAACATAAAACGTGGCTAGCGAGGCTTTGGAGGGTTGTAGCTGGGGTTGAAGATGAGCGTTTGGGTTCGGTGACTTTGCATAAAAATGAACTAAAGAGATTGCTGACGGTTCCCTGTTTTATGGTATTTTCATAGTGTTTTTGAGGAAACTTGAGTATATTCAGTAAATATTAAGGACACCTAGAAAAATGTGTAAAAATTTTGTTCGAAAATCGGCTATTTTTGTCGATTACGTCCAAGAGCTGCTTTTTATTTTTATTATTATTGTTATTTTCCACAATTATTTGAAAACTTTTTACTCTGAAAAAAGGTTTAGAAACAGGCCATCAATTTTATCAGAAAATTGGTTTTAAAGGAAAGCTTGTATTTCGGCCTGAATAAACTCCCCCCACCTATATTGCCAAAGAACCAACCAGCTTCTTAATCAAATTCCAATGTTTTTTAATAACCTACAATAATCTGCGCCAACGGATTGACAGGTGCGGCAGCAAGTGGCTGACTGGAGGGCTGGAACTGCGAGCACAGCAGGTTTCGGATGGCCAAATTGTTCCGTCCATTGATCAACAGCTGATCCTTGATGTGCTGTGGAGGGTGGAGATATTTGCATTTTGGGTTCTCGCGTGTGCAGCGGGCCTGAAAGTGCATAATATAGAAACATTTTAGATGTATCCCCTTCTCAGGGGAACCATTCTGTGTGGGGGGATATCTTGGGGGTATTTCGGGCTGTCAGCTAGATGGGATTGAGGGGGTGCATTCTGGGGTTGGTTCCTAGTCCAGATGAGCCCCATAGACAACTCAATTAGCATAGAATCGGTCCATAGGGGAATCCTATCAGATTGGCGCATAGTGGAAGAGGCGTAGATTGGTACAGTGATAGTGTGGAAATGTGAAGTAGGTTATGAACGATGAAAATTTTGCATTGATAGTACATAGGCGGCTGGATATTTTTTGACTGGACAAAATACCGGTAATGGGAAGGTCATTAGTGAAACTGCGTCATCTAAAAGTCGGAACCTTCCGAATTTTCTGAAATCATTACAGAGCCGCAGCCCCCTTGAAAAACGACATAGTTTTGCGATCAAAAACTGCTACCTTCCACCCATTGTTCCCTTTACTACCCCCCCCCCTTAACCGCCTCCCCCCACCTCCCCCTCCTTCTCCCCCCCCCCCCTTTTTTCCCCCCCCTATTTCTCCCCTCCCCCAACACTTCCTCTACCTATTACTCTTTCCCCCCCCCCCCCCCCCCCCCCCCTCAAAAAAAATTTAATTATTTTTTTATTTTTTTCTCCCCCCCCATCATCCTCTTTATTATATTATTATTAATTTTTTTATTTCTTTTTTTTTCCCTTTCATTCAAAATTCTAAATTTTTTATTTATTTTTTTTTTTTTTTTTTTTTTTTTTTTATTTTTTTTTTTTTTTATTTATTTTTTTTTTTTTTTTTTTTTTTTTTTTTTTAATTTTTTTTTTTTTTTTTGGGAAAGGGCGGGGGGGGGGGGGGGGGGGGGGGGGGGGGCCCCCCGGAACCCCCCCCCCCCCTCTTTTTATTTTATTTTTTCTTATTTTTTTTTTTTTTTTTAATTTTTTATTTTTTTTTTTTTTTTTTTTTTTTTTTTGTTTTGGTTTCCCCCCCCCCCCCCTCCCCCCAAAAAAAAAAACCCCCCCCCCCCCCCCCTCTTTTGTTTTAGGAAGAAAAAAAAAAAACCCCTTTATTTTTATATTACTATCCATCCCCCGCAACTATTCTTCTCATTCGCTTTCTCCCTTTCTTCCATCCCCCAAATATCTCCCCCTCACAACTCCTCACGGCTGGTTCCGCTCTCCTTTTTCCAGCCGCCCGGGCGCGGGGGGCAGTAAATCGAAAGTAATGGCGCGAGTGACTGGAACCGAGCCCTTTCAAAACATTCTGATTCAGATGACGCCCGTAGCGGGGGCCGCTGAAGAGTAGCAACAAAATCGTTGACTCAACTCCTGAAGACACGCCAATGTTAATTTGAGGACCGTACAATTTTCCGGGGTGGATGGTGTCAATACAGGGTTTTTTTAACAATCTTGCTTGGAGGAGGGACCAAACTTTACGATTTAGGTTGCTACCAAAAAGCTAAGGCAAAGACGGGCTTCAGTTTTGAAGATATATTAATGTCGAAATCGTAGTAACGAAATCTGAAATAACCGACCTTTATCGAATCATAACACGCAGTCACGCGGCCTTGCTGCACATCGACATGTGGGGGAGGGTGGGCGAATTTGCATTCTTGGTCGGAACGGGTGCACTGACCTCGCTGGAACTCTCGGCATACTTCAACCTGAAAAAGGAACGTCTCGCTCATCAGCCACCGTAGTCCGGAGAGTGGGGGAGGGGACCACTCATTGGATGGAGGGCCCTACTTTCCGTTTCTTGTCACCTCCCCAGGGCCCATTCTCTTCTAGGGGAAGGCTCTCATTGCTGGAGGGGTTACCATGGAAGCCACCATAGCTATTTCAGCCTAATGAGTACCGTACAGGAGTGAAGGGGATTGGGGCGTGTTTTTTCGGGTTTCGGAGGGTTGTTAAAACTATACAATAGTGCTTAAAGCCACCCAAAAATGCATTTTTTGCTCCATCAGTAATTGATCTTGCTGATCCAAAAATCAAAAAGCGCTTTTTACCGTTTTTTTTTTGCTAAATCAGAACGGTATTTTTCATGTTCAAACTCACCAATGCTAATTATGAATTTTTGTTATTAAATCGATACTGTATGTTTATAATCGAAAGTCCAAAAGCACTAATTCAATTTTTTTCCGCTAATCAATACGGTATGTTGCATCCACACAAATCAACAAACGCTTTTTATCAATCCCCCAGACACATCAAACCCCAGCGAGCTTTTATCGTTTTGCGCGAGTGCGAACAGCTGACCTAAAACTTCCCCCGCCGGCCGTTCCAACTGTTCGCCCTTTTTCCACCCCATACTTTCCTTCCCCGTCCTTTTTCCCATTACAATATCAGTGTGCCACACCCGCAACTCCCAGAGGCATTGGCCCCACCACATCACCACCAAAAAATGAAACCCCAACACCAGTCCCCTGGAGAATCGATAAAAACTACTCGCGGAATTGGATTAGCCCCCATCCACCCCTCCGTTCCACAACCAAAATTTCGCCACACGATTCTCTATAGAGCCGTAAGGGGCGGTGGGCAGTCAGTGGGATGGCGGCATGGCGCAGTGCCACTCTTTTAACCCTTTTTCAGCCGTCAGTAATTGAGCCATTCAATTTGACAGGCACAAGCTGCCCCCCCTTTCTTTCTCTCGCCACTACTGGCCCTCGGGGGGCAACCAGCCACTGGGGCTTTTCGATGGAATGAGCGGCTAGAAAATGGAAATTTTGGGATAAGACGCCGGAAAGGGTGGGGAAGGGTTGATCCAGGGCAACCAGGGCGCACGGTGATTCGTCATCGCCCTTTCGGCCTCTGACAGCTTTCAGCGCTAGGGCAGCTGCCGGGACGAGCTTTGTTAGGGCGCGTTTCTCCCCCCTGTGCACTCCCTTTCATGAACCCATGAATTATCAGACAGTCCCTAGTTTTTGAGGCAACTTTTTTAGTTCGAGCGTTCTTTGGGATCGAGCAGCTAGAAAAAGGGTTGTTACGCTTCCAAAATATTTATAAAAATGACGGCACGCTGTCTAATCATTGCTATTTCTTCAATTGGACGTTTTAAAAACCTAAACTCAAGATTACAAGGCCTGCTGCGTAGCTATTCCTCAAAAATATTTTATGACTCGAACGCTCGGCGCCGGAACGCTCGAACTGCAAAAATTCACTTAAACACCCAAAATACACAAATTGTCGTTTTTCATAGTAATCCAAATACAAACCTGCAACCAGCGTGAATCCTTGGCATTTAGAATCTGCGTAACAAGAGTCGACTGGTTGCCTCCACCAATGGCTGAACCCGGAATGGCGGACGCCGACGAGACTGTCGCCGTGGCGGCTGAGGCGTTTGAGTTCTCGTCGTACATCTGGAAATTCACGTATAAAAATGGCTAAGGTTATTTCGTTGAGATGGCGAAAAGAAGTGAGACAGTTTAGTTCTGAATCAGAAACGGAGAAGAATGGCTGATGAATCACGGAGTGGCTCATAAAAGTTGCCCCCACGCCAGGACGGGTCAATCAGAATCTAGAAAAGGTCTTGAATTAAAACCCCCGTTCAAAAATATATATTTCCATAGTTTGGCATCCTAGCACAAGAGCTTTCGCTTTCGAGCCATGGCGCTTGGTTGAACAAATAAAACAAGTTTTCCTCACGTGGCCAATAGTCTGGGTCGGCCCCGGAAATGGAGCGACCCGCAAAAAATGGTCTACTACCATCGGTTTAACATCTACCACCTAGAATCGTGAGAGGGGCGGGACGGAAGGTAGTGTTTCATGGATCGATCATTCGTAATGTCACGCCAGCGCTACAGTTTTGCCGCGCCCGTCAAATCACTCCTTTGTTGTGGTCGCGGGGCGCGCACGCGGCTCGCGTCAAGAAATTGTTGTTATAGGGTGGGCGCGGGAGGGAATTTTTCGGCTTTTTTTTGGTAATATTAGGTGTAAGTTGGGAATGTTAAGTAGTATAGGTATGCAATTAGTATAGGCGCTCCTTACATGCAGCGGTGCTATTTCCTCGAACCATCTATTTCTCTTTGATGCTCTTTTTATTTTCTTCCTAACCTAGCCAAGCCTAACCGACTTTTTCAAAGGATCTGGAATTTAGTAAAATAAATCATGGTTAGAATAAAGATCTCAAGCAGGTCGAAAAGCCGTTCCCAACACAACCCCGTAACCAAACACCTAAAATAGCCAAGCGTCCAACCCTAAAGAATCGGTGGCACCAACACCACCACCACCCAAAAGACAAATGCTTTGCCGTCTCCCCCTTTGGCTTTTCTTCGGCTATTACCCCCGAAGGGTTTCGCGAATTGAAAATGCATGAGGTTTTCGGGGGAGACCGAATGGCCGTCGGGATCGGCCCGTCGTTGGCCCTAAATGCACGCAAGCTGTGCCCAACCAAGCCCCGAAAGGCCCCAGCATAAGATGGACGAGCTCGACGAGCCAAGCTCCTGGGACAGCGGAAACGGATTCCCGGAACGCAATTTGGATTCGAATAGATATTCGATGGAAGACCAAAGGGTACGGCAACAGACAATAGCCAATCGTCTACCGCTGGCAATTTATTTTTCGAGGAAATTGATTGGGAAGAGTATTGGGGCCGTGGCCGCTGTTTCTGAGACCAAATAGATCAAAATGTAATTGAAATTCTTATGTGGATTGGATAGGGGTTGTAATGAAGGGTAATGAAGCTAGTGCATTGGATACGCTTGAGTGTCGATGTGTTCTGATGGGTCAGAGCATGGGGGATCAAGGCTGGGTCGTCCGTGAGGGGGGTTGGACAAGGCTGCAAACGGCACGTTGCAAGTCGTCAAACAAATATTGGAGATTCTAATTATAGGGGGGGTTATGGACGGTCTGGGATGGGGGATTTTCGATTTAGTACCGGAAGTGCTGGTAGGGCATTGGAAATGCTTGTGGGAAATTCATAAAACCGGATATAAGCTTCTGGGTTCAGATTTTTTAATAAGGAAGAAGTGAAGAAGCGCTAGAGGGGGTCCTGAATGTTCCTCCGCTCCAAACAGCTTCAGGGAATGCCATAAACACTAGTAAATGGTTCACGATGTCAGGACCATGACCAAAACGAAAAAATTCAATAGCGCGAAAGAGCTCCTACTCGAAACCTCAGGTATAGTGCTATGGGCAACGCGCAATGGTAGATGGTAGGGTTGAGGTGGACCGGTCGGACCGATGGTTCGGGTATGTGCCCTCTCGCCTTGCTTGCTTGTGTGTGTATGGGACTGCCTGACAGCCCTCTCCCGCCCCATCTATGGCAGTCGATTTCGCTTTCGATGTGCCGCCTGGAGGTCGGGCTCATGCTCTTCGCCTGCTTGCTCTCCCCGTCATTCTCCTTCTACTCCTCCGCCTCCTCCTGCCTCGCCTCCTGGGGGAAACCGAAAAGCATTAGGCCTGTTTCTCACCGTCTGCCTGGAGGCGATGGCATCCCCCTCGCTCGGTGCGCCTCATTTCCTGGGGGCGCCGAGAAATTTCACTTTTTGTTGGTGTACACGGCGGAGTATGGATCAATGTGGGTGGGAGGGTAGATTGTGTGCCATGCAGCTGCTTGTTGAGGGGGAACGTTAGGGAACTTGCGCATCGAGTTTTTTTTAAAAGAAGACTGTATTTCGAAGCGGACAGCAGATGGTGTGAGAAAGGGCATTTTTTGGATGGTATGGGAGAAAAATACTAATGCTGGAAGGTAAGAATAAAAATCCTTAGCCGAGATGTGGCCAACAAAGCAACCTTCTAAAATTCTTAACTTTAATAAAAACCTGTTACACGATGCCAGGCTCGCTATTTCTGTGGAAATACGACTAAATGTAACCTACAATAGAAATCCGCTTAAAGCAAAGCATCAATACCCCCGCCATGGCGCATCAGTTTTTCTAAAAGCCTGACCGATCTCCCCCGCAGCACCCACACACCCATCCACCAAAACTGGAGCCTGTTTCTCGCTGGCTGGCACTGAGCTGCCATTCATCCAATGGCAGGCTCTGCCCTTCATTTCCTGAGCTTTCGATTTTCCGCGACTAAACGGATCGATAATCCGGGTCCCCCCTTTGCACACCGATCGCTTCACCGATTCATGGACGGGGGAGAGTGGTGTGCCGCAGCTGTGCGCATACAAAAGCGGTAAAGTCGGTGTCGCTTTGTGCGATTGATCGATTGTGCATGGGGGTAGTAGAGACTGACCAGGTGACAGTAGTGGTCGAAATTTAGGTATTGGGATGTAGAGTGGAAAATTAAAAAGTTCAGAAATTATTAGTTAAATTTACAAAATATGAAACGCTAACCTTTAATTCCGTCGACATCCCCAAATATTCTACAATAATCGAAGCGCAGTAGCCAATTGTAGACGTGAGTTCGCAGCCCCCGATTTATTGGCGAATCAAAGTGGGAAGCCCCCCATCCCACTCGAAACTCGAAACGATCCCCCTATCCCCCCGACAGAACGGTCTGATCACCTCCACCCCTACCCTCAAGCACTATAGTCAAAATGAATCTAACGAAAACTCGAAACCCCGAGGGTTTATATGTCAAGAAAAATATTCATCAAATCCAAAATGGCTACCAGGCAACGATGCGGCCGCGGTCATATATTGTGGATTCTTTGAGAGACGAGGCCGAGGTTTTGTGGGGGAATGTTGTGGCGAATAATACGAAATGAGGAGACGTGACGGTTTTGGGGGAAATGCCGGAAATGATGATTAACGATTTTTAGCATCGAATGATTGGTTTAGTATAACGAGTTTTCGAGAGAAGAAATGTTTAATAGAACATAAAACGAATCAGGGCTAATAAGTGGCAATCAATAAATCAGAAAAATTCAGGGTGGCGGTCAAAAATAACATTTCCGGTACAAGGCAAAAGTTGATAGAAATATCGGTAGCAATCCTGCGTGTAGCAAGTGTTCCCCAGAATATTTCGGGCAATCATGGTCCGGATGGCTCGATAGCGGCTGGCCAGCCAGGAGGAGGAGGAGGAGGCTGAGGCCCAAGAGAGGCCCAGGAATTGGCTGCCCGGCACAAAAAAACGATTGAGCCCCAGGGGCAGGAACCGGCAGAGTCGGGGAGTATCGAAGGCCCCCTCTCAACCCAAAGACCCCAAGGAGGATGGGCTTGTGAGTGAGGGTTTTTGGTGGAAAAAGCTCGCGAGATCGATGCCAACCCCAACCCGATCTCACAGCCATTACGCCCGGTTGATCCGACTCACAGGTACGGGCCCCATCGGGCTTTTTGCCCCTCTCAACAGCCACACATACCCCTCGGCTTTTTGTGCTGTCTTGATCTATCGCTCTAGGGTCCACCCCTCTCCACCCTTCAGGCCGGTTCGTTCAACTCGCTAGCTACTCGGGGTGGTAATTGACTGCTTTTCATTGGAAAATCTATATATCTGGTGGTTGGGAAGGGGGGTGGTGGAGTAGTAAAGCGTCACAACAGGGGCTTTGTTTATTAGCGCGAGGTCTGGGGGGGGGGGGCGGCAAAGTTGGCGGTAGAGGGTAGTGGATGGAATTTATTTTTTAAACTAGAACTTTTAAGCGGAATTGAATGTTGAAGATGCCAATTTCTTATGTTTATTGACGCTTTAGAGGTATAGTCGGCACCTCCAGACATTAATACGTAGATGCATACTAGGTACGCAAGGCTTTAAAAAAATATACTCCATTTGAGATGTATAGCCGATATCTAATTGTTGCTTTGTAAGGAGAACAATTAGCGCTTTGCTTTCAAAACTACAACACAACCAAATCCGCCGGTATGCAAAAACCATAGCCAAAATCGGAAAGCGACGGAAAGGGGGATAGTATGAAGTGATGCGTACATAACACCAAATCGGCCTCGACGCAGTTCCCTCCCCCTTTCAAACAGTCTCTCTGTCTATGTGTGTTGTATGTCGGGGCGCAACCCGTTTTCGGGCTTTTTCGATGGCGAACCGCCCTCTCCCAGCCGAAGACGGCATTCGATTCACCCCATGCCCAAACAGTCTTCTTCACTTTTTTTACAAACAAATAAAGCCGCTGTCCTATACGGCCATAAAGAGAAGGAGTGGGAGGGGGGGGGAGGAAAAGAAGGCAGGGGCTCCATCATGAGACTGGTATTTTCAAGGGCGGGGCGTATGTAGGAGTGAGCGGAATATTAGGGACGTATCTTAATTACCGCCGGCTTTGCTCACTTTATTTGGCTTATTTCATAATACCCAATAATAAAATTCGGGTCTGCAACTATTAATTATAACAAACCATGAATGATAATATAAATTACATGAATTCTATAGAAAGAGTCGTGGCTTGTGCGCTCTAACATCCTTTGATCTGTAGAAATTCCAGACACCAATCCCTTTCAACCACCAGTCTCTGAAAAAACCCCAA